TGATTCTACTGTTTCTTATTATTCTTTTTATTGTTTTTTTTTTCAGAATTTTGTGCACGCGATTTCTCAAAGGCTACTGGATGGAATTTCATGAAATTTTCAGAAAAAATGTGTCGTAACATGAACTTGATCTGTCTGAGCGATTTTTTGAAAATTCCTTTCTGGTGCCAAGTTAGAGGACATTTCCTGATTTTAAAATGACATTTTGTCTGTGGTTAATCTCAAGAACGGTAAAAGATATCAATGTGAAACTTTCAGGGATTATAGATCGTGATAGATACTAACCAGGACGCGACCTTTCGTTCGTCGTCAATACTTCCTGTCGTTAGGAGATGCGAATTGAAAAAAGTGAATTTTCTAACTTTTTTGTTTTTCAATATTTTTTATTTATTTTTGGAATGATAATAGAGACTTTTTGATTGATGCTTACTATATAAGTTGTTTGGATATTGGTTTGTCTGAACTCTAGATATTAACATTTGAAAATCTGAAGCGGGACCAAGATGGCGGCTGTCTCTGTCAACTCCGCCATTTCGCGAGTAGGGGTTTATGGAGGCAGCTGAGCGTTTGATTAAACCATTCTGACATAAAGATACAAGAAATGTAAAAAACTACTTCGACTCTCACGTAGTAGTGAAATGGTTGGAGGAGTTACCTCCCGTTACTTGTTTATATTAAAATAGATAATCAATGTAAATATTGTAATTAATTGGTCAATTGACTAAAGAGTTATACAAGTATTATTGATAAATGATGTTCCGTTAGAAAATAATAATAGTGTTGCCAAAAGAAAGGCAGTCTGTAGTATTTTATCAATATGATATCTGATAACTTATGATCATTCATTAAGTTGAGGTACAAGGGGGCAGTACAGCCAATTGGCTTGTGTCTTCACTTTGGTACAGAAATCAATTGGTTTATCGATCAAATAGGACTGTGCAAAGTTGCCGTAGTCAGTGACTAGTTAAAATGTAGCTGTGTGACATTAGCCATAGGTTTGTCATTAGGACAGAGAAGCTCTTACAAAGTTAAATCATACTGTGTAAGTATATTGTAGCCAATTGGCTAGAGTTATATAGGCAACTTGGTAAGCAGTTATACACCAGGCAGATGTTAAAGGCTAAATGAAGAGGCACCAGGCAGATAGATCTTGACTTATATAGTCAGTTGTACGAGTATAGTGAGGCAATTATCATATGGCACCAGGCAGGTGCCGGGATTAACTGAAGATATATAATTATACAAAGCACTTAGGTCATTTGATTTAAAGACACAAGGCAGGTGTCATATTATTATCTGTATATATTGCATTCAATCATATCCCCAGTAAAACTCGGTAATCCGAGCACGGACCTACTGACCGCTCAGATCCGACACGTTACAGTAGTACGTTGCAATTGAGTGTCAATCTTAAAACTTAATTTCCGTTTCACTGCTTTAGTGTAACTGGGCTAGATACGATATGTAATGTGTATAATGTGTTACATATACTTTCTTAACGTCAAAATAAAATAAAGGCGCTGAGAATGTTTTATTTTTAAATTTTATTGATGCTATCATACCTATCTAATAGATCAGTCCAAAGAAAAGGCGCGAATATTTACTCGTGGCGTTTGGCGCGAAATTATGAATGCTTTTTATATTTCTTAGACAGGTGAACTGTTGCAAAAGTACCGTGGTATACACAAGTATATTCCCAGAGCAGTACTCCCGATAGCTTAATGGTTAGCGCGTTGGGGATATAAAAGTAAAAAAAAAAGCGCATTCACGTTGGCGACATGGTTTCAATCCTCCTTGTGACCAAAATTTTGAATCTCTTTTCAGCTCGATTTTACGTGGGTTTCTTTTCCTAAACGGACGGAAGACCTCTCGTTGCTCGCAACGAGATCGTATCTAGTTATTATTATTATTCTTATTATTTTTTTGACTTTCTAATTTTGTGCACGCGATTTCTCGAAGACTACTGGATGGAATTACATGAATTTTTCGGAGAAGATGTGTCGTAACATGAACTTGATCTATCTGAGCGATTTTTTGAAAATTCCTTTCTGGTGCCAAGTTAGGGGACATTTCCTGATTTTAAAATGACATTTTATCTGTGGTTAATCTCAAGAACGGTAAAAGATATCAATGTGAAACTTTCAGGGATTATAGATCGTGATAGATACTAACCAGGACGCGACCTTTCGTTCGTCGTCAATACTTCCTGTCGTTAGGAGATGCGAATTGAAAAAAAGTGTATTTTCTAACTTTTTTGTTTTTCAATATTTTTCATTTATTTTTGGAATGATAATAGAGATTCTTCTATTGATGTTTACTATATAAGTTGTTTGAATATTGGGTAATCTGAACTCTAGATATTAATATCTGAAAATCTGAAGCGGGCCCAAGATGGCGGCTGTCTCTGTCAACTCCGCCATTTCGCGAGTAGGGGTTCATGGGGGCAGCTGAGCGTTTGATTAAACCATTCTAACATAAGGATACATGAAATGTGAAAAACTACTTGGACTTTCACGTAGTAGTACGTTGCAATTCAGTGTCAATCTTAAAACTTAATTTCCGTTTCACTGCTTTAGTGTAACTGGGCTGGGTACGATATGTAATGTGTACAATGTGTTTAATATACTTTCTTAACGTTGAAATAAAAGAAAGGCGATAAGAACATTTTATTTATTTAATTTCATTGAAGCTGAAAACCTATTTAATAGATCAGTCCAAAGAAAAGGAGCGAATATTTACTCGTGGCGTTTGGCGCGAAATTATGAAAAGTGTCCCGCCTTTTCTGATTCGTAGAAAGGTGTACTGTTGCAAAAGTATACACAAGTATATTTAGAGCAGTACTCCTGATGGCTTAATGGTTTGCGCATTGTGGATAAAAGAGAAAAAAGCGCATTCACGTTGGCGACCTGGGTTAAATCCTCCTTGTGACCAAAATTTTTAATCACTTTTCATTTCGATTTTTTTTTTCGTGAATCGGACGGAAGACCTCTCGTTGCTCGCAACGAGATCGTTTCTAGTTGTTTTTATTTTTTGTTTATAATGTACTTCCATACTAAGTATTAAGAAAGAGCGTTTATATATATTTATTACACTAAGACTTTTCCATAGTGTTTCCCATTTGGTCAAGCATGCTATTTATGCATAGATGAACCCAGGTATTTGATTGGATACTCTGGTGAGAACTTTACTATTGTAGTATTAGTAGACACTTTTAAAAGCGATCCTTGAACTGAGCAGTGTACTGATTGTCTCTAAAATTACTGATTTCTACAATTTGACTATTCTGAATGAATTAGACCTTATGGACATTGGACAATATACTAAACAGGTCACTTTATTAACATTTTTAACATTATTAATTATGAGCATGCAGTGTGAAAGTTATGTGAATGAGATTTGAGTGAAGAGTTATTTTTCATGAGTTTTACATATTTTGTCAATAATTAGATAATTTATTATAGCTAAATGTATGACTGACTGAGAATTGGAGATCATATACAGATCAGGTTCATATACCATATATTTGGTAAGATTTGTGTTTAGTGAAGTTTGTGTATTTTGTGATGACTATTTGTGTTGTAAATAGAATTTCATTTGGATACAATGAATGGAAATGTTTATAGTGAAAAGTAAATTATTTTATGACGATGAATTTGCATATAATATAATGCATGAATTACTTTATGATCTTTGAAAGTTATGAGGAAAATGGAATTATTTCCTTGAGCAGAATATTCAGTGTTTTATGCTATGTTTGTGTATGTGTGTTTGTCTGTGAATTATTTGTTAATATTTTATTTACAGAACCTCTTGTTTGTTTGTTTGTGAACAACATGACCTGTAGTAATACATTGGTGAAATTGAACCCAACTTCTCGTTGTTATTAAAACCAACGTTTACACTCCCATCTCCTGTAAACTTGCAACAGTGGGAGATAAGCAAAGATTCTAGCTGCAAGCTGTGTAAAAAGAGAGGGACAATGGCGCATATTCTATCAGGAAGTTGTGCTGATCCAGGGAAGCTATAAATGGCGACATGACAAAGTCCTACGGGAGTTTGCTGATGCACAAGAGGTGGATAGAAGAAAAAAATGACCAGCAGACAAGAAACGGAGACAGATACATTTTATGAGACAGGGGTGTCTGACACAAGAGCAGCAATACAGACATCAGTGTTGGATAGAGGATATGACTGGAAGCTCAGAGTCGATCTAGACAGGAAGTTAGTTTTCCCTAACATCCTGGAAACCAAACTTAGACCAGTTGCAGTTTAAATGTCCCAGGAGTGGAAGACGTTGGTCTCAATAAAGATGACTGCGCTGTGGGAAGAAACTTGTGAGGAGGCAAAGGCTCATGAGAGGAAGAGCCTTTAGTATATAGACTCCATGGCAGACTGCATTGATAGAGGCTGAAGTGTCTGGTGGTTTCTAATAGAGGTTGGCTGTAGAGGATTCCCAGCACAATCAGTGTGAAAGATGCTCACACGATTAAGTGTATCAGGAAGAGCATGTAAGACAGCAGCAAGGTGACTGAGAGAAGGAGCAGAAAAGTCATTTTGCTGGATATGGCACCGCCGAGATTATCTTACTGGAAGTCCATCGATCCATCGAGTAGTGGATTGGCTGATCCACTAACTAGAGGATGTCATGGTTAAGGGTCGAAACATTCGGTGAAGGTAGGAGACCTGACGAAGATCGTAGGCAACAGGCGAGCACCAGGGGGCGGTAGTTACAGATAGCGATAGACATGCTTAAGAGTGCCAAGCTGACAGTCAGAAGAAAACCATCATCTGTAAATGAATACTTAATGAACAATTTAGTTGTTCCCCGACACAGCCGAAGAACCTTCCCGATGACTTACACCAAAGTGACAAAACGTAGATTAATCCCTGTATTATATTATTTTGCGTGTGCCCCATTCGCACCGATTGGATAATAATTGTGAACATTTGATTTCCAAAGAACATTATTTATATAGTATTTTCGTGGGAATAATTCTTACATCAGTATCTGCGTCCCTTCCTGAGGGTGTGAAAACAACCGTGCCTCCTTCAGCATTCTGTTGTACCTGGGTCTGGTATGTAAATACATTCTCAAAGTAAGGATCCGTATTTCTGACCAGAGAGATGGACACCAGCTGAGGATTATTAGCCGTCCGTGGAACACTTCCTCTGTCTGCTGTATTGACTTGAAACTGAAAAAAAATTTAGAAGACTTCCTTTAACTTTAACTATAAACCCTTTAAATTTTGTTTTTGTTTTGTTTTTAAGCATTTTTTTCAATTCTTTTCTTTATTATAAACATATTAACTTTCCTCCACATAAACAATATAATTCGCTTAAGACAATAAACTACTCACATTGACTGTAAATCTTGTTGCTCGATTTGGGTAATCTAACATGGATCTCCTCAGCATAACGCCACCATTGTCTTCGTTTACCATGAAGTAATCCATAATGGTTGTGTTAGAACCCACAATAAAGTATCTCAACTGATTGTTTGGTGCCTAAAGTAGAATACAAAACTTTAAATTCACTGTCCCATTTAGGCCAACTGTGTGCATTTAATTTAATCCAATGTCCCATTTTGACCAACCATTTCTTCATATCATAACTTTTATATTTAATATTTCATTACATTATATAGGAATGTTTTGCATTTAACCAGCTAGAAGAAATATTGATGACTTTCATTAAACCTTGACTTACAAAGGTATCTCCATCAGTGGCCTGCACTGTGACCAGGGGCTCAGATACGGCTTGAATCTCCAGGATTCGGGCTCTGTATGTCCCAGCCGTCATTACTGGTCTCTGTAGATTTCTGTCCACTCTAATGGTCAGTAGCTTCTCATCCTGCCTCTTGGGTGTCCCACCATCCTTTGCTCGGACACGCAGCTAAAATCAAATGAACATTAGCCACGCTGTTTTTCTTTATAAGCTGAATTAAGCCTACATGTAATTATACAGCTCAACAAACTTTTTAAGCTCACATGGTTTTCTGCACAAATTAAGGTCACATAGTTGTAATAAAGATTACCATTTTCAAACTACAGTACAATGACATAACCCTTCGTTATATTACAAATATAATGTCAAGCATAAATGTCTTTTAAAAATATTATCTTAAGTGTCCAAAGTGGGTGTTTTAAAGGGAAAAATATAAATAAATGGTAGGATGTTTCGACTATACGATTCTACCATAGGTTTTTACAAATTGTATAAAATGAGTTTTCCTTGATATCATGTACTTGATAATTTTAAATTGTCTTCTTCAAAGTGAGTATTCTTTTAAAATCTTTGCTAATTTACCATACCCCTCTTGGTTTTGTCAAAATGTAGCGCCGAAAAGGGATAACATTGCAGAAGGGAATCACACTAAAGGGTAGGATAATGAAGTATTGTTTATTTTTTTAATAGTAAATTCCTTCTGTGAAAATGGAAATTCTTCTGCATTTACGGTTTGAAATGTTAAAATTTTGCATTGGGATGAATCTCTCATGATTCTAAATTTTAGAGGTTGACTCTTAAAAATCCCACCTTTTAAACATAGAAAGCAGTAAAACAGATGAAAAATACAATTACCATCCTGAGTTTAAGAGTCAAAATGTACAGAAAATACTATTTACAGTAGCTGTACTGTGCCCGCGTCTACGTTTCTGCCAAGAGTTGTTGCTTTCAAAAGAACGGATAAAAAGACAGCTGCAATTGGCAAGAAACCACAAAAATTCAAACGAGAATAGTTGTTTTTTTCAGCAATGAATATATCAAAGTTCTACTTATTGATTTGTGTGAATTATGTTTCAGTAAATGAAATAAAACTAAAATTATGCAAACAAATACTTTTAAAATTTGTTTTGTTGTCTCGATACGCTATATTACATCATAACAATGTGACCACAATTTGTGCGAAAAACCACGTGAGCTTAAAAATGCGTTGAGCTGTATACTTTACCTCAGCAAAAACAGTAAACACACCTGAATGAAGTTTTACAGCAAGGATGGAAAGTTTTGCTTTGTTGTATGAGTAATTCAAAATATATGTTACATTAATTTTATAATATATTTTGAAGTCAAGAGGAATGAAATAACTTCACTGTAAGCATCAATTCATTATAAGCATGTTCCCTAAAAGTGTGTTTTATATATTTACCACCCTCTTCTTTTATCTTGGTTCCTTTCACACTTTCTGAGAGAAAAGAAGTTTAGTAATTTTGATTTAGTAACCTGGAACGAATTAAAAGGGTCTGCGGCAATAGATTGGCGCAGGGTAACTGAACCACCAAGGGCCACCTGGAAGTATGTAGTGGCTTCATTGTCTCCTATAAGTTCGAAGGTGAAGTAGTTGAATGGAGCCTGTAAAGAATGTATTTCATTAGCAAGACAATTCAGAGATTGTGATGGGTGTCAGAGATAGAGAGAGAGAGAGAGAGAGACTTACAGATGTGTCATTGTCCCTGCCAGTGACCCTGAAAATTTCTTGGTTGACAAGCTGATTCTCAGAGATGTTGACAGTGCTGGGGAGATTGGTGATCTCTGGGGGGAACTGATTACGAATCACATTCACAGTCAGAATGGCTTCGGGGCTGGTCTTGGCAGGAACACCTCCATCAGTTGCTACAAACCTCACCTGGAAAAAAAACATTTCATGAAATTTCTTCAGAAAGTCTGTAAATGTTATGTTTCTGACATGAACTTCCGAGTTCTGGTATGAACCAGTTTTTGATGTTTTGTTTAAAATCCAATATTTACCTTTCTTAAACAATATACAAAACAGCCCCCATTTACATGAGAAAAAAAAGAATCAATAAGGAACCAAGTTCCAAACACTTAATGCAATTCTGTCATTTACCAACTATTTAGATAAGCCTTAAAATTCCTTTAAGGAGTTAAAAAAAACTTCTTACCGTGTAAGGGTCGCCAGTTTGTCCCACAAGAATGTTCCGCAGGAACACATATCCATCAGCATCCACAAAGAACAAGTCTCTGTTCGGGGAATTGGTAGTCATAGCATAGCTAACTACATTGTTTGGTGCCTGAAACAATACAATACTCCAATTTAGTCTATTTGTTAACAGTATATGAGGGTTATATAAGCTGTCTTGTACCATTCAAAATTTGCCCACAAGTTGTATATAGGAAATTACATTGTTTTCTTTGAATTCATCAACTTTAAATGAAGGCAAGAGGGCTGGTGAAAATGGGAACGAGAAATTGCATGCACCCCACATAATAGTATACATGTACTGTGTTCATTAACAGAGAGCATGGGAATGATCATTTATTTTTTGTTTTTTATTTCAGAAATCCTAATAGTTTTCCCTATAATGCTTTAAAATGGTGTGATTTTATTTATAATCCACAGTACTGAGTAAAGGACATTGGACTGGGGAGACTTACCTTGTCATCACTATCTGTAGCCTGGATCCTAATCACAAACTGAGTCACAGACTGAGTCTCAAAAATTGTCCTCACATAGTTATTGGGTGAATTCACATTTATCCATACAGGACTATTTAAGTTTCTGTTAACAGTAACTCGCAAAACAAGGTTTCCTGAGCAGCTTGTGGCAGTATTCACAGCATCTGTAGCTTGAATCCTTAACTGAAAAAAAGTTTTTAAGCAGTTACTAGTTTCCCTAGCAGTTATATCTTATATGCATATGCTTGAGGACAAGACAGTTTTCCTAAGCAGTTTTGTAAGCAGTTCAAAGCAGTTTCCTTGTATAATTTGATAGGGTTCAAGAGAAATTTTAATGTAGGGCTCAATGTTTCAATAAATATTATTAACAGGAACCTAACAACTGACCGCCAAAATTGAATAGTCCAATTCACACTTTGCAACACTTGTTTCATTTTGCGGGGGGTCAACCAAAAGGTCAAAAGGGAAAGAAACGTCATTTCTCCTCTTTGTGCTACCAAATATTTGGGCGTGCTGTGAAAAACCCTCTGTGTTTAATTTTTTTTTCTTTCAATGTGTGGTTAGCCCAATCTTGGGGCAACCAGTACAAAAAATGCAGAGCTTTTTTAAAGTCAAATGACCAAGTTACAAATTTGAAAACTACAAAGGTTACTGCGTGGATTGTATGGGTTTATCCCCTAAGATGGCGGCCAAGGGACATAACTTTTGAAAAGTGTGGATTGGTCTATTTTAGCTGCCATGTTGTATTGTCGGACAAAATACTATAGGTCAACAAGAGGGTGAGCCTACTGGCCACAAAGCTTTAAATTTATAGAATTAATGATGTAGACGTTTAACAATTGGGTACAATAGATAGCCTGCCTTAAATGAATAATGATATATCTTAATATTTTTTAAAGAAAATATATTTCTGAAAAGACCAAAAAAGACATAATTGCAGTGTTTAGGTTTTGCTAGATAAATTAAGTTTCAAAATCAATGCATTTTTGATAATAAATAAAGGAAAATGGGTTGAAAAAGGTACCACTGTGGTTTTTACTTATTTTTTTATATTTGTTCTCATAAACTACATTATGATAAATAATTAACTAGCAATTTTGTTGTTTATCTATAGTTTATGGATTATTATTGTTTTATGCCAAGTTGGCAATATTTCAGCCATATTTTGGCAGGGTTTCAATTTAAAATTGTACGTTTGTGTACCAGTTTCAGCATCATCATATTGCTTTAAATATTCATTGGACTCATCTATAAATGGAAATGGTTTAACAATTCTAAAGCAGTTATTTGCAATTTCAAGCGGTTTTTTAAAACTCATTTAAATATTTCGCTAAAATTAATTGCTTCAGAACTGGTTGAAAAACTGGGAAGGCTAAGAAAAACTGCCTCAAAGTTGAACTGCCTATTTTTATGAATAATCAATCAACTTGTCTGGGGGACATGGAAGGTTAAGGAAGGTTAAGGAACTGCCAATAAACTGCTTATAAAATAAAACTCGGAAGGCTTAATAATTGCCAACAAACTGCCTTCCATTTTGACATGGGCTAAGCAGCTTCTAAGGCAAGAATTTCTATAAAATATTTGTGTTGATCATAAAATGAATACCAGGGGTATTCATAGGCGAGACTTTTCCATAAATGTTGACTTTTGTGGTATATTATTTTCCTAACAAAAACATTGCAATATTTTTTTGCAAGAAAGTATCGCCTGTTTTTGCTAATTAACATAAAGTTCTCTCGAATAAAAAGGAAATGCAGCATACAAATATAGTTTCGTTGGCCTCTAACAGGAAACAAGAAACAATATTTAATTAAAATGCACCCTGCCTTTTTCAGTGTTGATATTTCTTTTTGAATAAATAAGTATACCAATAAGATCGGTGAAAGACAGTAGCTTACAATACCTGATAGACAGTGCCTTGATCTGAGAACAAAGATGGCTCTATTGTAGAAATCTGTCCCGACTGAGAATCAATTCTGAAGAACGAAGGAGCACTTTCATCTCCAATCAGAGTGTACCTGATTTTGCTGAATGGGGTATTCTGTAAATAAAACTCATCAATCATATACACTTCTTATCACCCCCCCCCCCTTCCATTTTCATAGATAATTTATGCCTGACAAAAAAATATATTCGAGTATAATTCAGCTAATGCAAAATTAATACTGTAATTTTCACTTACAGGTGTGTCTGGATCCGTTGCATTGGCATCATAAATCATACGACTCAGAGAGGACTGGTCAATAGAGATGGGGACCACGGAAGGTGTAAATGTTGGACAGTTTCTGTTTCTCAGGACCGTCACTCTTACAGTGGCCAGGTTATCACTGGAGCGTTGAGGAGTACCTTTATCATTGGCCCTTACAGATAACTATTAAGCAGAAATCAAAAAAAAAATTAAAACTCAGAATAATGCCAAGGTTTGCTTGTGTATTTGTTAAACAAACATGACTGGTTTAGAAAACATATAAAAATAGAGCAATATAGCTAGCTTAACTGCTCACATGGAAACTTTATAACAAGAACTAATTACTTCGAATTAAAAAAGAACTTTTATAATGCTTTTTAAACTACAACGTTTTGTTTCTGAAGGCCCTGAGTTTTTAAATATTTCTGGGAAGTTACAGAACTACAGATTTCTATAATCAAGATAAGAAATCTTACAGTGTAGAGGCCTGTCTTGGCAGAGTCATCTGTCAGAGGTATCCTGACATAAATTCTTCCCTCTATGTCGATCCTGAAGTAATTCTGAGCAAGTGCATCACTCACAATTTCATATGTTACTTCATTATGTGGAGCCTGTTTAAATAAACAAATGAAAAGTTTTTATGTCAATTCCTTCAATCTAAATACAAGTACAAGGTACTTCAGCATATAGACTTTTCATTTTAATTATTAGAATTACATATAATAATGAGTTCTAGACAAATTCTCTACATGTACATTAATGTGAAAGACTTGATTTCTTTAGAATACTGTTTTCCATTAAACTTGCCTTAGTGTCATTATCTAGGGCCAAGACCTCCTCCACTAAAACATTGAGGGCCTGAGTTTCCCAGATTGTGACAGCATAATCCTGCTTCACAAATTCAGGACTGAGGAGATTGCGATTGACATTGACAGTCAGAATTTTCTCATCATACTTTGGTGCGTTTCCACCATCAGTAGCTCGGAGTGCAAGCTGTTAAGAGGGTAAAAAAACAGAGACCCATGGGTCTTAATGGTCACCTGAGTATAATCAGACTTAACTCAATATGAGTTTAAATTTAGAGGATTCATGTAGTATAAAATAAACTGATTGATGGAGCTTTGTTACCAAAACACAAGAGAAATAGGATGATCAGAAACAATGAAATAACTAGAGCCGAGCTCGTTGCAAAGCAACGAGTAGGTCTTCCGTCGGAGCTGCGGACAGGGAGAAGAGACCTTGAGTCAAGGTCATGCCACGTTCTAATGTTAAAGCAATCTTTTAAGGGTAGATATCATCATATTATGTTTTACTATATAAAAAATGGATAGTAAAGGAGTTTTTGCGACCTTGACCTTGTCAAAATGACCTTGGGTCACACCATGACACATGCTGGTGATGAGAATATCCCATTTGTGTGCTACTACCGTATTGACACATTCATACATGTTCTTTCAAACAATGCATCCAGCCAGAACATCTTATCTTAAATGACTTTGGTTAAAGGTCATGACACACTCGGCATGATTTAAGTTATACCCTTTTTTCGATTGGCCTTGTCAAAGTTAACATGTTTAAAACCAGATATGAAAGCGCTACCCTTTCTCTATAAAAAGTCAAGGTCAATTTTTTGTTATTTTTAAATTTTGGAAAAGCCGGTTAAACTTCAAGGTCAAAGTTCATTATCTACTAGTACGTAAAGTCATGTGATTTTTGTGTAATATGAAAGTCCTATCTCTTCTAATTCAAAAGTTATGATCAAGGTTAAAGTTGTGAAAAGTAAGCCAAGCTTCAAGGTCACGTTGTCAAAAGTCAGTGTATTTAGAAAAGTGTTGTCTCAGGTAATACACAGGAGTAAAATAAAAGCTTTATCTCTTCTCATTCAAAACGTATGACAATTGTTAATGTTTTTTGAAAAGCAGGTCAAACTTCAAGGTCAAATGGTAAAAAATCACAGAGAATATTGAAAGGCGTTGTAACAGGCAATGCAAGTTTATAAAATGGAAGCTTTCAAAGTTAAGGTCAATTTGAAGTAATATTATTTTTGGGGTAGGTCAAGCTCCAAGATCAAGGTCACAGGGTCAAAAATCACAGTATATTTGAAAATCAAATGTCACAAATAATGCACATGTGAAATATGAAAGTCCTATAATTATTTCAACTCATTGAGTAATTATTATCAAGTTTAAAGATCTCGTGACAGATGGACAGACTGGCTGTTCATTACCTTAAAAAATAAATACATGAAATTGAAAATGAGAAATTGAGAAATACGAATAATCAAGAAAAATATAGAATATATTAAAATATAAATGAAATTTCCTTTATGAGATTTCCTTGAAGACATATTAATACATATTATTGAAGTACATGCATTATATGTACGTTGGGGATTCAAGACGCGGACACGTGTCACATAACTGTATCGTTACCAGGTAGGTGGTGTAGTAAAAGGATTAAGCGTTACCAGGTAGGTGGTGTAGTAAAAGGATTAAATTCGCCTGATTCCACCTCTGATTTTTTTTTAAGTCTGTCTTTGCGCTGCTATTGATTTGTATTGTTTAAACTGTCTTTTGGGCTGAAACATTGTTCATTTTTTGGGTATTTCTGCGTGTGCTCAAAGGCCGTCAGAACTATGTGCATCGTACATGTTTAAATTTAAATGTCCAGCCTTTCACTTTCACATAAATTTAGCTATATTGTCAGGCAAGAGAGCTATAGTGCCATCCATTAAAAAGTGTAAATGTTAATTGTGCACCCCCCCCCCCAAAAAAATGCGCTGAAGCTATATATTTCAATATCCGTGTTTTTCAACTGCAGCAATCTAAAAATATTACTTACCGTGTGTCTCTAACACATTCCTTCAATTTTTCTACAGCAAAACATTCCTTACAACCTTTTTTATTAGTCCTCCTGAGCCTGAATTTGAGATATCGGAAATATCGTATAATTGTTTTTTCCATTTTGGGTGGCAAAATAATTCGGCCCAACGAACTTCTTGCAGATGTCAAGTACTAGTTATTGATAGAGGTCTCTAGAACATTTTGAAATCCATCTTAAAATTGTGCAGTTGAAGTAAGAATTCTGAGGAATTATTCCAGAACCAAGCGCAATTTTTTGTACGCATTAATATATACTCTTAATATGGGTGGCACTGTAGCTCTCTGGTGATCCATCTTTTTTTTTTTTCAGCTAGCGAGCTACAGATCTGCAGCTACATGTAGCCTTTCACCAAATATATTCTATAAAAATTATGACTCTATCTTGTTTGTAACTTTAAATCGCTAGAAATATATTGTAAAAATCCAGAATGAAAATAATGAATGTTAGAAATGATTTTATTAATTGTTGGAAATGCAATGCAAAATTCCGGAAATCAAATGCATCGGAAACTGGTACCTCCCCTTACCCAAAGAAACTAGTATACACGTAGTACATGTACACACTTCGATTCTCGATTGTACTCTCTAATCGGCACACAGAAATTAAAAAGTTTATCAAAAGGAAAGTTTAGTGACGCATACTAATCTTTGCCAACCTTGTTTTTCTTTCATTTATTTGAAGACCTGCACGTAGCATCGTTTTTGAAAGGGGAGGGTCAACAAGAGAAAAAAAAATTATACTAACCTGTAAAAAAATGACAAGCCAAAAATAAAAAATAGGAAATTGCCCAAACTCGGAAAGCCTATTTCGTTGTGTGTGTGTTGGGGGGGGGGGGGGGTTAGTGGCCAAGTTTTTTCACTTCCAATTTTCTTTGCATACACTACTACATTTCCTTGATATCAATATACTGTGGTAAGAGTTATGGGGGACAACCAACTTTTCAATGGACAGACATCAATAGTAAAAGTAATGTTGAGGATAAAAGGGGGGGCATGCCCCCTGGCTCCCCCTCTGTTGCTAAGTGCCCGAATTGGCATTCTCCAATCTGAAGGAAATCATTGTATCATTTCAGGGAAGGGGGAGGGTTCCGTGTCGCCATGAGAGGAAATTTAATAATCGATCTCTTTTACATGTTTTAGTCCAATTTTCACGAAAGAATGGCTTGGAACATTTGTATGCAACTACACAGCTTTCTCAGAGGCAATTTTGCGTTTTGTTACAGAAAAATTCCTAATTATTCATTTTTTTTCTCTCGTATTCTGAAAACTCGGAATGTATATTTTTGGGCGCTCTTCCGTGTAAAACAGCTTGCTACAATCACGCACCCGTAAAATCGTGTCATTGTGGTAAAATCGTGTCATTGTGATATTCTTTTTATTCGAGAAAATAAAAGAAATATATAAGCATATCATTCGGTAAAATACAATTATAAGCCTTGTAGCAAATAATGCAAAACTCAAAGTTTCTTAATTTAATTTTCGACTTATTATATTATGTCGTTTTCACAAGATAATATCTCGTTTTCACAAGATAATTTCTCGTTTTCACAAGATAATATCTCGTTTTCACAAGATATTATCTCGTTTTCACAAGATAATATCTCGTTTTCACAAGATAATATCTCGTTTTCACAAGATAATATCTCGTTTTCACAAGGTAATAAGTCGTTTTCACAAGATAATATCTCGTTTTCACAAGATAATATCGCGTTTTCACAAGATAATTTCTCGTTTTCACAAGATATTATCTCGTTTTCACAAGATATTATCTCGTTTTCACAAGATAGTATCTCGTTTTCACAAGATATTTTCTCGTTTTCACAAGATAATATCTCGTTTTCACAAGATAATAAGTCGTTTTCACAAGATAATTATGTCGTTTTCACAAGATAATTTTTTTCTGGTATTTAAAAAAGAAATAACTGCGTGTCCTAAATATACCACCGTAAGTTATTCTTACGATTTACGCAAATAACATATTTTCTTGATTTTAATCTGAGTAAACCGATGACCTAGCATCGTTTAGAGAACTCTAGGACTTTAGTAACAAGAATAGATATGGGTTACCCCATATCCAAAGATATTCGACTTTTAGATTTAATATGTTTAAGAGTGTTTAATGACTTTTATGAAAATAAAACTGCACTGTCTAGTTATAGAACTTGTGTAAATTTCGTGAGTCCGGTCACCCAGTCTCCAGCATTACGGTCACCCAGTTTCATAACAAACAGTACACATACCTGTGTCCGCAAGACCACGTAACCTTGCATGGTCTGCACACGTGCGATGGAGTTGTCAAACGGACTCTCGCGAACTGAGAAGTTACGATGGCAGACAGAACTTTTTTTTTCATAATTAGATCACATGAATACAAAATTTGATTCAGCTGATTAATAAAAATTAAACGATTGTCAGGTTTTTTTTTAAAATCAAAGAGCGGTAATATTGACCTCCGAAATCGGAATGTATATAGGTCATTGCGCGATCGATAAACGGGTTACACATGTTACATTAACACTGTAAACACAACAGTCAGGGTCCGAGGAAAATTCACGATGCATAAATTTAAATTTAATGACAGTGAACTATTTTAAGCTTGAATTTTTTTTTCATAAATAATTCCATATTGAATATTAATCGAAGGAAAAGATGATAGGTATTTTTCCTCTCTCCCGTCTTGTTGTTTAAGCTAAATACAAGGAGAAATTAAAGTTTTCTCTGAATAATCTATATGACATCCAGCTAGAGAATACGTTAAAACAAAGTTTAACATTCAGTTTAGTTAGACATATTATTCTAATCCAGTTTATATCAGTTATGCGTGTTATACGCGTACGCATAAAGAATTCTTCACTTGCCGTATAAAATCAGTTACCTGTACATGGATAATGAAGTTCGCTGCTCATATGATAACACCTGACGAACAAAATAACATTTTCATGAGATCAATAAGATGTTAAAGAACCCATTTCAAATCGATAACCATATCGAAATATTTACCGTTTTTGAGTTATAAAGAAAAAACTTTCAAGCGCCCTAGACCCCTAATTTGAGGGGCCAGCCCATTTTTAATGATGTCAAATGATAGATCTTTAAATTATGCACAATATTTGTTCATCATGTCTTAACAAATTATTTTTAGTTTAAAAGATACATCAGGAAATATATGTAAATTTTTGCTATTTTAGGCATTCTCATTTTTGACCCCTATCTAGCACCGTTTTGAGAGCAGAAATCGAAAAAGAAAAACCGATGTGCACAACTTCAATTCTTCTAGTATTTAAATGCAGTCGAATTTCTGCTCCAGCTTTTGTCGTTTCTGAGCCTTTGTCTGGAAATGAACAGTACCAAATTTTCAGTTAAAGGGAAATAACTCGAAAGCGGAAAGGAATTTTTGAAATTTATGAAAAAATTTTAATAGAGTTTTGCAACGTTCAAAAACGCTGAAAATTTGAGCGAAATCCGTTCAGAAATGAGCGAGTTACGAGGTCTCAAAGTTTGCGTCTAGGAAAAAAAAAAGAATAATAGGGAATAATCTTAACCATCAGAATCAGTAGAAGGTCTTCCGCCTGAGCGGAAGACCTTAATTAGTCTAGTATACTGTACAGTAATATCTTATGAATGAAGTTTTTATCTGTTTCCCTTTAATAACTATCACCATGGAGTTTATTAAAGCACATTTAGTTCTTCTGTTCTATTTTTAATTCATATGTAACTTTTTACATTTGTCTCCCTTGATCTCTGAAGAATACTAATGAGAAAAGTTATTTCGGTCTCATTTATTATTATAATATCCTTAATTTACAAATCCAGTTGATCATTTAAACTATGAAAGTACTTTATGTATAAAAATATTTTTACATAACTCTTTTCAAATTCATTATTTACAGTGATTAAAAATCAAAAATGAGTGACAAAGGGGAATAATTAAATAAAGCGTGGTTAGTATCAGAACACATGTCACAAGCTGGTCCAGATGATCAAAAATATGTTAAAAACAGCCTTGCTTATCACAACTTGACTCTGTTTGCCTTAAATATACCAAAGGGCAATGAAAATTTCTCAAGAAAAAAAGTATTTAACCACAGAATCAACACAGTCCTACCCTAACATCAGAACCCATGATCCAGTGTCATGAAATACACAAATTGCAGGCTGTACCTTAGACTGTGTCCTCAATACAATTGTTTTTTAGGTGTGGAGTGACCCATGAAGTTATAACGACCACGAAATGTAAAATTCCATAAGCATTACTACATTGTACTAAAAAATTGTGAACCACTAAATCAAATCCCCCTAAAGCCAATAATTTTTCCAAATTTTGAAATTTGACCCCACGAAAATAAGCGTTTTTACAGTAACTTAATTACACATTTTCGCTACATCATCTCCCCGGGAAACATTGAAATCACTGCTCTGGGATCACAACATTTAAAATTGTTGAAAAAAAAAATTAAGCAGGCGCATTTTTTATCGTAACTATACATTCTGTTTATCTGTTCAATACTTAAGAGCAGACAGGGTTATATTTAACAGAATTAATACATTTTCACTAAATTATTATTAGAACCCAACATTTATGCAAAGGCATCAAACTAAGGGGCCATAAAAACACCATTCTGGAAGAAGAACTCTTGTTTTTCATAGCCGTACCTTAATTCCTTTGCTTTATAACCAGAAGCAAATGAAAGAATTTTGCTTTTTTCTAAACCATATCATTAATATGAAGCCCCCTCTCGAGCTCCCTCCAATTCACAATTTGGAAGCTGCACTCTTGCTTATCATCACTATGTATTATATTTACTCAGGAGAAGAAGAATAATGCACTTTTACTATATTATCTTTATAGCCCTGTACTGGCACCAGGACCCTTGAAACTAGGGCCATGAATTTTGATAAAGAGGTCCCCAAATGGAAAACAAATCTAACAAAATACTTTCAAAATATCTTCAAAATCATACCAAAACATACTTTTATATTTTCTTTGTATGTTTTGAAAGTGTTGCATTTAACGAAGCATCAATGCAACACTTTACAGGTTGGGGGTGGCATGGTATTTTGTTAATGTTTCATTACAATGTTTGTGTTTTATCAATGTTTCATTACACTCTGCAGAATGAAATTGCATTTTGCAGTATTTCGTTACACTTGTCTGCATCAAATTAATATTTTGTTAGCGTTTCATTTGATTAACAAACATGTTTAGGGTTGAATTATCTACGAGCTGTAAAGCTTCCAAGAACAACTTATGTATTTACATCCTGTGTTAGACTAGTATTTGGGCAAATTTTCAAACCACCAGCACTAGGTCAGGCAGAAACAAAAAGATTGGTGAAGGGACTTGCAAAAGTATTAGTTTAAGATGTATATTATTCATAATAACAAACAAGTATTCAATGAAAATGGATTGAACAGCAGGCCAACGGCCTATATTAGTTCTTTCCATTTAAAAAATGTTATTATATTGGTCCCTGATTGGAAAAAGCAAAATCAGGATGAATCTGGATATAAAAGAGGTATTTACTGCATGACATGTTTTTACTGGGAGTTTTTTTTTTAATTTTAAGATTGACTTTTAATCCATATACTAGCTTAGATCAGTTTTAAGCATTGGATTAAGTGATGAATTATAATACTTGGAAATTCTGTGAAAATGTATGTGATTGGAGAAGTGGCCAATGACTTGGGAATTATATTTCTTAAACCAAAGGAATTTAACTGCAGAGAATGATATAGAGAGTGTACTGGTGTTTTAAAATGTTGGAATGGTACGCTATTGTCTATTGAACAATAATGTCAATCCTGGAATTCAAAAAGCTGTGAAACACGAAGTGTTTATAATGTTTTAAAATGAGACTGTGTTTAGATGTTTTCAAAGACTTGTGGATTTGTTTGTTTTTAAATTATAATTTGTTAATTATAATTTTAAAAATTCAAATTTAGTGTTTTATTGATGATTTTTTACTTATGATTTGTTAGAAGTTTGTTAGAGTGTTTTGTTAGCCTTATTTGCATGTGATTTGCTATACTATTGGAATACTGACAAAACACAGTGTTTTGTAAGTAGTTTGTTAGAATGTTTAGTTCGTAGTTTGTTAGAGTGTTTTGTTAGTAATTTTTTATAATGTTTTGTTAGCCTCCTTTGCATGTGATTTGCTATACTATTGGAATACTTTCAAAACACAGTGTTTGTTATAGTATTTTGTTTGCCTTTTTTTCATTTGGGGACCAATATGTTTATTGAAATCACGGTTAAAAAACCGTTTGACAGCTCAATGTACAAAAGTAAAGAAAAAGGTTTTTTACATATTGTTACATTTACATATTGTTAATTTTGGTTATTTCAGTCCCTTCCCTCAGGCCCTAGGTGTGGGGATTATGAAAATCACTCAGAATTTTTGCCTTTACTATCACAAGCTACCGTATAAGTAGAATTTTTAGCGAGGATTTAATTTTGGCATTATTAGCGAGAGTGCCGTGATCGCTAAAATTTAATATCGCTAACAATTTATTGCGTTTTTTTGTAATAGCTTTTTAATTGTGCATTTTAAAATCGCTAAAATAACATCTCGCTAAAAATAAATAACCAGTTTTTAAGGACGAATCGCTAAATTTGCGTCTCGCTAAAATTTCCACTTATACGGTATTTGTCAAAATTTGCTGAAAATGGTTTACCAGTTCCAGAAATGAAAATGGTGAAATGTGAAAGTATGACAGACAAAACGGAGATACTTAGATCAATTGAGTGATTCAGCTGACTTACAGATACACTTTTACCCTGTATGTAGAAGTTGCGACGACCAGATTAGTTTGTCTCAGACTGATTGATTTGGTTTCGCAGTTCCAGAAATAAAATTTTTCAAATGTAAACCAACGAAGGAAAAAAAGGTAGAATAAGATCACTTGAGTGATTCAGGTGACTTACAAATAAACTTGTCAAGTTTTTTTTATTGAGTATTTATTGAGTTTATAAAATTTTACCCTGTATAAAGAAGCTGAATCTGCCTGAACAGTCTGTCTCAGAGTAACAAGGCCTGTTGAAGAATCTACTCGGAAGTACACAGTCGCTGTACCATCGCCCACCAGGGAGTATCTGATGTCATTCAAGGGACTCTGGAATAAATATATACAAAAATCTGAAGCAAATTTTTGGGTGATCTTTGTAGTGCACCATTGTAACACTGTAATTTGTAAAGTCCAAAAACCATTAACAAATATCAGCGAAATCGATCACGAAAGAATACGTGAACTAGCAAAACAACCAAAAAAACAAACGAATTGAACTGACCACTGTATCTGCATCTGTGGCAGTGACTGTGAAAAAGCCCTGTCCAGTAGGTTGATTCTCATTGATGGAAATGATTGTTGGAATGTTTTGGAAGATCGGGGGATTGGCATTGCGATCCACATCTACCGTGACGGTAATTGAATTTGAGAGAGGATTCAAACCTTGATCTGTGGCAGTGACGGTCATCTGTTTGAAAAACAAGGATCAACTTCAGAGGCAGAGAAATTGTCAGTAAGATCTTATATTTACTTGAAAGAATTTAATGATCCATGCCTAATACAATTTTTTTACCCCTACCCTAAATTGATTCATATTTTTCAACAGCACCCTTTATAGCATAAGAAATATATTTTACCATGCTTTTATCCGAAACACTACCAGAAGATACCGTTTTTATTATTTGTGGTAAAGAATCATAATAAAATGATTACCTCACATTTTGAATTTCCTTACCTGATACCTTTCCTCTCTACATGGGTCATATAGGAAGGACCGTCTCAAAGACAGACTTCCTGTCACAGCATCAATAAGGAAACACTCAATATCCTCTGGTCCAGCAGTCAGGGAGTATCTCACAACATTGTTTGGTGCCTGTAGAAGAAGAAAATACTACAAACAATACCATATTATTTGTATAAATACAAAACTTTAGCAACAAATTCATGTATTTTCTCGTAATATCAAAACATAATTTATTTTGAAAAATCAATCAAAAGATCTAATTATCTGATTTTCTATAGATCTTTAATTAATTCATAAAATGCTCATAATATTTTGTTTTAAAAAGCATCTTCAATACCATTGCATCAGTATCATTTGCAGTCACTGCAATAATTTGTTGACTGAGAATCTGTGTTTCTGGGATTCGTGCAGCATATGAAAGTCTGTTAAAAATTGGATGCTGATAGTTGCTTTTCACTGTCACAGTTACCACTGTTACATTGATTTTTCTAGGACTTCCGTCGTCATAAGCTTCAACTCTTATCTTAAATAAGATTTTTTAATAAAAATTATTATCTCTAAGAGAGTTCTAAAATGTGTTCATCCCCCAATAATGAATCCAGCGTTTCTATCCCCATTTATAGCACTATCTTCTTTGCCAATTTTAACAATAACCTATTAAAATTTACCTTAAGCTGATCTTGATTAACACCGCTCAAGACGTTCCTGACAGTAATCAAACCAGATGTGGGATTGACCTGGAAATAGGTCGGTGCCAGATCATCTCCAGTGATTCTGTATCGTACTTTACCAAAGAGACCCTGATCATTGTCCCTGGCTGTGACCTGTAGCACACTGGCCCCGGCCTGAATATTTCCCTCCAAGTCCTTGGAGTATGGGTCATTGATAAAATAAGGGGTGTGGTCATTTCTGGACACATACACTGTGATGGTGGCTGTTTTAACCCCAGTGGGTGTTAGGGGAGGATTTCCACCATCTTGTAGAGAAACAGTTCCCTGAAAAGTATGACAAGTACATTTTACCCATTCAAAGAATTACCCCAGAATTCTCTGATGACAGTTAATTTTTTTAAATATGATTGTTGAACTAAAATATTACTTTAATTCAAAATTTTATAAACAATGTTCTTTAAGTAGGAAATACTTAAACTTTATTATTTCTGTTTTACTATGAAAGTTCTTTTGGTTGAAAGAGTCAAAGATCGTTGAACCGACAATCTGCCATCCTCTGTTAGTCTGAAAAATTGCAGCATGTCAGCATCTCCCGTCAAAGTTGTAATTCTTGTGTTGTATGGCGACTGAAACAGAAGACAAGCAGATCAATGCAGAATCTAAAGTGTGATCACAAAACTTATTACAGTAGCAAATTTTTGGTTTTCACAAAAAGAAAAAAAAACACTGTGGAAAAAAATTCATTTGAAATTGACTCAAACATACTCATACCTTAGTATCAGCGTCCCTTGTATTCATGTTGGAAATGGTGATTTCAAGATCTTGAGTTTCTGTAATGTTCACTGTGTAAGATGTGCTGACCCACTCTGGGGGGTTAAGATTTCTGGAAATGGTGACGATAACTATAGATATTGCCGACAAACTTGGAATAGCCCCGTCTTTGGCTTCTATAAAAATCTAAAACAAAAACTACTTACTTATGGAAACCCTCACACTTTTAAAAAAGATTCCTATTCAATATTTGATTTCATTTCATCTCATTCTCATGATAATTCACAATCATAAGATTGACTTATCTTATTGATAGCTTTGTTAACTTTTCATCAGAGAAAAAAAATCTTACTGAAGAGGATTCCACATTGTTATTGAACAGACTCTGTCGAGTTGTGATCAAACCACTGACAGCGTTAATGCTGAACAAAGTTTGTGCTGTAGCATCACCAATGATAGAGTAAGTTACAACATTGTGGGGACTCTGGAAAAGAATTTCAAAATAAAATTTTCTTGAAACAATGCACAGAAAAAATATCATTGAATACATCCAGTTCTCTTCTCAGTCCTCAAGCAGGTAAATTTTACCTGTGCGTCAGCATCTGTGGCGTTGACTTGTTTGACAGTGGTACCACTGACACTGTTGAAGTTAATAGTAGCTGTGTAAGGTGTTCCTTGGAAGACGGGTGGGAATAAGTTTCTGTACACGGTGATCCTCACTGTAGCATGATCCACAGAAAACTGGGGAGGATTTCCTTTGTCACGAGCCAAAACTGAAAACTAGAAAACTAGATCTAGCATAACTTCGGATAGTTTACACTTTATAAACCGCGAAACGGTTTAAACAAAAGCCTAAACTGCTCCTATTTATGTTATATTGTTTAACACAGGTTAAAATAAGATTTATTCCTTCTAATTCGATTTCAGTGTAGACAATAAGACACTTTTCCTGTTTTTAAAGAGTACTACTAAAGATGACAGATACAAAGGATTTACACAAAAAATAATAAAAAATTATGGAAAGATTCTAAAATTTCTATGTTTTAAATTTCAGGAGCTTTAATACATTTATTACTTTTTCTTTTATAACATTTCATTACCCCTTCTTTAAGAACTTCAAATGGTCTTTAAAAATTAGTATGACATCATCTTTTGTTTCTTACAAGGCCCAAAACAGCCTGATATGTTACCTGAAACTGTCGAAAAAGTTTAAAAACCTGTCTATTATTAAAAATAATGGACAGTTTTAAAAAAATTTGGATGGCTACAGGTAAATTATTGAATTAAGAAAACACAACACAAATAAACAAAAATAAATATTTTTAATGTAATGAATTTAGCATATTTCACAATGTAAGCAAATAATCTACTCCAATTCACAGTAACTAAAATTAAAACTTTGTAATTATTCCAATAAATGATGAAATATATGTTCCACGTCACAATGACAAAATTTTAAGGATATATCTTTTAATTCTATTGGAATGAAATTTGCACCAACAACAAAAGAGGGGATAACACTTCTCCTGGTAAAAATTTAGATTATCCGGTTCATTTCTGACTAGAGCGACAAAAAAGCTTTTAATTTGTTGATTTGTTTATCCTTGACATCCTTAATTAAGCATGAAAACTTTAACGTGGGGTATTGTGAAGCTTTCTGTCAGTTAAAGAACACAATTTGTTAATTTGTTTGTTTGTTGTTGTTTTGCATCCTTGAAATGCCTTGATAAAAAGTTGAAAAATATTTAAACAAAAAAAAATTCACTTTGAACGCAAAGCCCATTTTCTTTACAATACTAAGCACAAAATTCAAAATATCACTTGAGAATTACATATCTTAATTTGTTTTGCATAAAAAATATGATTTCTCCCTCAGAAGACATGCTTTCAGCATTCAGAATCACAAAAAATTGTGTTGGAATCTCGTGTGCTTTGTGATTAAAATGTTTTTAATTATTTAGATATTCACTAACCTGTACCTGTCCGCTAAGTTAACAATTACAATGAATGTTAGTTTCCTTTTTATTGTACACATGCAACCTTCACCTTAGAAGGTCAAAAAAGTAGACAATGCTTTTTTAATATATGAAATGAGAAAATTAAAAGTTCTATGATAGTACAATATGAACACATTAGAGTAAATGTTTTTAGTAGGGTTAACTGTTTAACGACCCTCCAGTAGTTCTTTCATCTCACAGACATTTTTTTACCTATAACTTTTACAAACGTCAAAAAAAAACCAGCCTTTTTTCAACATATAAGATTGTACAAAAAAAATCAACATTTAATTCCTGAATTTTTAATTTTTTTTTAATTAAGTGAAAAAAATTGCTTTAAAACAGTAAATACGTTTCATTTTATTACGATGAAGAAAATATTGCGTAATGAAAACACCAGTCAACCCCTTCAAACGCTGAGATGTCTGCGGAATTTTCTGTTTGCCCGATTATGACAAGAAGAACTCATGTATGACTTGTCGACAAGGTATACCTGATCCAACCTCTGATATTATTTAGGGGTTTTGCTCTGTACCTAATTTGTTTGGTTTAAAAGATTTTTTTTTATCTGGATAGCTAATTCCATTTTCATTTGCAGTCATCATTATAAAGACCACATAATTTATAAAATGCTGTTGTAATCCCTGTGACTTCAATTTAATTTTCTGTAGCCTGACTCGTTCTTTTTTAATTGAGCGTACTCAGAATTTACTCTTGCTTTTATTAGCTGATAGACATAAACTCCATGTGAGTGAATAAAAAATACCACAGACATATTTATTTATTTGCTCTAAAAATACATGATATCAGAATAAATTTCTATGACTCAGCATATGACTTTTAAACCCGTTATAATCTCTATCAAGTCACAAAGAAGTTATGCCCAAAAATGTTGACGTAAAGATCGCCATGGTTGTCCCTATTAATGAAAGGTACCATTACGCTTAGTTATACACGTAACAGTGAACTTTACAATTAAAAATAATATACAATTACTGTAACTTGTTTACAAGTTGACGGATTCTGTTTCTATTTAAAAGTTATAAATATACACATTCGTATGTAATATACATGTATTTCTCAAAGAATTAAGGATGCATATTCTCAATGCATGGATGGATTTTGTTTCGAATTGGTCAAATTGCCTTAAAAAATATTGAGAACATATCTTCCGAATCAGATTTAAAGGAAATCACGAAAGAAATCTCACTAATAGCAGTTGGTTATATTCGTAAATAATTGCATTTATCACCACATTGTGATAAATGCCTCGAATACCTGTGCAAGGGCGATTACTCGTGCGTTCGTGGTAGTGACTTAACATTATATCGAGACTGGGTTTTAAATAGATAGAAATATAACAAATATCCGCTGCCATCGGGTCGTAATGCCACCCAAACCAAGGAAGATGGGGGAAAACAAAAGTTAGACTTTATACAGCAAAGCGTATATTGATACCAAATAAACGGATGGCCGAGATAGCAGCTAGGAAGGGGATATCAAGATGACACACGTGCCACCCTGGATTCTGGATGGGCTAGGTCTAGGGGAACCACCGAAACTGGGAGTATTAAAAATGTCCTACAAGATCAAGATCACTAACCAGTCATCGCTAGAAAAAGTGCCAGTGGCCAATCTCAGGGGGTGAGGTTAAATATATATCACGGGTACGCATACATTAATTTTGTAATTTAGCAGAAATTCAGGCGGTCTAGGTTCAACAATTAAAAAATTAATAATAACAAATGGATTTTTTATTATTACGGAATGTCAGTGTTAATGTGGCATGGGTCTCTGGATTAGGGTCAAGGTACAAATTAGTGGCCCAGGTAGTGATTTCCTGGATTCCACTGGGGTATTTATATCTATGTATAAATAGATTGTGACAAATAGTTGGCTACAGTTGCAACAAAATGTAATCATCGTTTTACAATTCATTGATTGCCTCTTGGATTATTATAATTTTCGTTGTAAGTTATATGATTGGATAAAGATTTACTTCATATTGTACAACATAGGTTGCCTACGTCAAAATGAGTAAGGTTTAGAACGCATTATTCCGCTTGACTAATTGTAAAGTATGCTCAATTTGAATTCATTTTTGATCGAAAAAGTGTTGTATTGTCTACACTGAATGATAGAAAATTAAATTATCAGGAATGAATTGAAAAGCAAATCAATTTTTACTGGTATGACATGGGTTGGAACAGTATACGATTTTTTATAAACCCTCTTGCGGTTTATAAAGCGCAAAATGTCTCAACCCATCTTACACTGTATAACTTGGGTTGCTGTTAAATTCATTCCTTAATTGATTTCGTTCTTTAGTTTGACGGTGATTTTTTTTTACCTGGAATTGAGAGCTTGTTGTAGCGCATAATGCTTGTTTCAAAATAACTTTACCAGAGGTCTTTTCTACTTCAAAGTACTGCACAGGCTAAAAATAAAATTAGAAATATATATTCCATAAAATCAATAGATATTTAATATACTCTTAACGAGGTTTTTTTTAAACAAGTGGCTCCAATCAGCCACGTACCTCCGATCACTTGACTCTCCACTTATTTAGTGTTTCGGCGGTGTGAAACGAGGTATATATTTTTATAAATTGATTTATGATGAAGAAATAATTTTCTTCATACTGCTGCAAATCCGCCTCATCAGGAGTATTATGCATTATGCACTTGCATTATGCATTCATGCATCGACACGTAAATAATAACATAAATTATTTTTAAATTGTTGAGGAAGTGAGAATATCACCCAAGTTTTTACTGCGTTTGTAGGACACAATAAGTAATTCTGAGAAGACTGTTTGACAGTCTTCATCCTTTGTAAGGATGTGCCAATATTTTATCAGTTTTCTTTTTAAATGCTCTGAACAGGGGTTGCATTTTGTGACAAAAACAAGAGGAATTCTTTTTTTTAATGTCACTTTTACTTTGCAGGGTTTTCTCTCTGCTATAATTAGCGAATACATTTTGCATGTTAGATTTGATTTCAATGTTATCGTATCCTCTTTTTAAGAGATTAACCCCAAACTCACCCAGAATTTCAAGCAAGGTGGTTTCATTGCTTGTATTTCTCATATGGCGTATTGTTTCACCTTTGATGAATTCTTTAAAAACAGAGGAATTATGTGAACTGTTACGTTCCAAATATTGGAATGAGTTTGTTGGTTTAATGTAGGTTTTAAAATCTAGAATTTAACGAGATTAAAAACAATGGCTAAGCTTCAATTCACCAATTATTCCAAGAGGTCGACCTATTATCTCACAAAACGTTTCACCTACAGAACGCATAATACATGTATAAACAAACAATAGGATGTGTAATGGGTTCTAAGCGTTCCCCATCTGTGTGCAACAGTCGCCTTCACCAAATCACAGATAAAATGATCGATAAATTTACAGGGAAGAATAATTTAATATATCATCGTCGCTATCGCGACAACAGGTTTATCATTTTTCACGGATCAGAAGCTATCATTCATGAATAATTTGGAATAGCTAATTCACACCATTCTCTACTCAAATTCACATATGAAATCTCCACACGAAATCAATTTCTTAGACACTACAGTGTTTAAAGGAAATACATTTAAAACCAGTCAAATTCTAGATTTTAAAACCTTCATTAAACCAACAAACTCATTCCAATATTTGGAACGTAACAGTTCACATAATTCCTCTGTTTTTAAAGGATTCATTAAAGGTGAAAAAATACGCCATATGAGAAATACAAACAAAGAAATCACCTTACTTGAAATCTGCGTGAGTTTGAGGTTAATCTCTTAAAAAGAGGATACGATAACATTGAAATCAAATCTAACATGCAAAATGTATTCGCTAATTATAGCAGAGAGAAAACCCTGCAAAGTAAAAGTGACATTAAAAAAAAGAATTCCTCTTGTTTTTGTCACAAAATGCAACCCCTGTTCACAGCATTTAAAAAGAAAACTGATAAAATATTGGCACATCCTTACAAAGGATGAAGACTGTCAAACAGTCTTCTCAGAATTACTTATTGTGTCCTACAAACGCAGTAAAAACTTGGGTGATATTCTCACTTCCTCAACAATTTAAAAATAATTTATGTTATTATTTCCGTGTAGATGCATGAATGCATAATGCAAATAAACTCCTGATGAGGCGGATTATGAAGAAAATTAATTCTTCATCATAAATCAATTTATAAAAATATATACCTCGTTTCACACCGCTGAAACACTAAGAAGAAGGTATGGTTTTAGCTTTATTGCGCCCTAAAAATGTAATGACATCAAAAAGTTTTGAAACTGGCTTAAATATTAGTTACATAAATGACTCTGATAAATCATAAAAGAATATGGCATGAAGGTTTACCATTCTGCAAATATGACGTCATTAATGTGAAGCATTTCTCTATTTTCAACAGAAAAAGCCTCAAAATGGCACATTTCCAGGGTGATTTTCTTTTAGAAAACAGTGTCCACAGCCGTCGCCCACGTTTATTTTTTGATATTTTGTGCAAAATTCAATAACAAATCACATATCTCAAGATCTTTGTGGGCGATGCCTGTGGACAATGTTATCTGAAAGAAAATTCCATTGAAAATTGGTGTCTTCTGCAACTTTTTAAGAAAATACGGGAAAATGCACATGTTTTTGACGTCATAATAAGCATTTAAAAACACATGTGAGAAAAATGACTTGTATGATTTTTCTGCATTGAATTTCAATTATTTAAAAAGCATGAGTTTTCAACTTTAACACCAGTTTCATTTTAAAGAAAATCACAGGGCAAAATTTGTATGGAAACCATACCTTCTTCTTAGTGTAGAGTCAAGTGATCGGAGGTACGTTGCTGATTGGAGCCACTTGTTTAAAAAATTTTTTTAATCGTTTTTATTTTCTCAAAATAATTAAGTTTACATTTGTTTTTTAGAATATGTGACATCCCTGACTCTTTGTGTACAGGGCTCTGATTCTGCGAGCCTTCTAATAGAAAGAGAGACCTACATAATAATTCTACATAGCATAGGTAGCTTTAAATTGTTTTCCTTACCATCTCCCTGTACTTGAAAGTGTCCTATTATTGCTAAATCTCTGTGTAATGAATCTTGTTGTGCTTTTTTCTAGATTTTAAAGAAATTTAATGCTTGAATTCTTGGTAGTTTCTAAACTTTCTGACGGCCGGCATAGTTTTGTTTTGATTACAAACCGCGCAAAAATGTCAAACTCATCCCATACATTATTATATTTGTATGAAAAAAAACTTGCATAAAAATACTTAATCGTTTAGCTTTGTATATAAAACAAAAAATTTAAACATTGATTTAACGATCAAAATGAATAAATAATCTTGGGGGATACCGGATCTTGTTGACCCGACCGCGGATTTTTCCGTGTTATCAATGCCTCATAACTACGCTAGGCTCGTGATATATAGACTCAACCGTCAAACGAGCCGTGTGTTGCTGTGTATTGTCAGATTGAACTATGGCTCTAGAATGCCGCAAAAATGAATAAGCATGTGTAGGTAGAACATCAAAATAGTGCCTTTCTCTACCAAAGTCCTTTGAATACGAACCAGATTAGTCTAATTTTATGTGATACCATTTTCCATATCATTACACTACCACCACCAACTTTTTTAACGTCCAGGAGGCAGTTTTCTGTCTAACGTTCATTACGAAGCATCAGCACTCTTAAATTCAGAACAGACTTTCCGATAAACATTCTGAACTATTAGCTCAACCAAAATGTTCAGCGGTGATGCTATTGTCATAGTCTATTGATCTGAGATCTTTGAAGTCGATATTTGGGGTGTTGTGGGGTCAGAACAATGGCATGAATAATCTTCTTGCAATAATTCATAGTCATCTGAAACAGTCTTTTTAGATGGTCTGTACAGTTCAGGAATTGTTAATGCTGTAGATGACGTAGATATGCAACATTCAGATTCAGCATTTAGAAAGCGTCAATTTTCAGATTAAACCAGATTCAAAGAATCGAGAACCCCCGCTTTTGATAGCCCCTTTGGGTCTGAAGTAATTGCATCAGAACAAGTAGACATGAAACATGAAAATTGAGATCAAACATTTTTGAGGAATTTTGCAAAATCAGGGTTTTTTGTCTGTGAGATTTGTAGAATAGCTGTGAAGTGAACAATTGCATTAAAAAATAATGCTATTTACTCGAATGCGTCATAACTTTCTTAAAAAAGAAATTATGAAAAAAATAACAAACATTTTAAAGGGTATTGTTCCTAATATGCGTTTCTTTTTTGAAGAGTATATTATATATGTGTGTAAAAGGAATATCTGTAAAAAAGGTTATTCCTTCTTCATAGTTCTGGAAAAAATGTCTTTAACTTGATTCATTGAGTCAAAGAACACTGAACTACTAGTTAATATAACTAGTTTGCCTAGTAAAGCGTTAGAAATTATTAGTAACCATTTTGATTACTAGCTAAGATAGTGAGTAGTAGGTGTCAAGAGGAGCGGGGTCGTATATAGATACATTCTAACCTAGTGCAAGTAACTAATAAATTCTAGATTTACTAGAATCTCTCTCTGTTCTCTACTCACAATCTATTTAATACCTAGTAAAACTACTTTTAAGGTCGGTATTGTGTGGACAGTCTTCTTTAAGAAGTGACTTCATTAGTTATTGGTTTCAGTGAAACGGAAACACCGACCCTTTTGTTTTGAATTATTGTTCTACTTACAGTCAACAAAGATAAATACTAGTATTCGAAATCTGCGTCCTTAAATAAAGTGTATATTTTTTTTGTCTTTAGTCATCTTGTTTAATTTACCTTTCATCGTTCACTAATCTTTCCATTTAAATAGTGAATTTAACATGTTGATATCTTCACTGGTGAAAACGCTTTCAATTTATCACTTCTACTCAAGAAATAAATAACAGTTTATCGCTTTTGAAAATGTAAATACTAGTAGACATTGAACTTACGAATGTTTCATTTCCTTGGACTATGGCATACTCAATTTCTTTGTTGCTTCCTGCATCCAGATCTGTAGCTGTTACCCCAGAATACACTGTTGTTCCCACTGGTGCCGACTGTTAATTTACATGTTTAAAACATTGCGTATCTTTCATTTTTTTCTGTGTCACGTCAGCTTGGGTAATTCCAAAATATTTAAAATATCGCTTGGTTCTGGTGAAAATGCTATAATTCTTTAATTCTTAATTTCTGTTTTGGGTATTTAAAAGACAAGCTAAATATATAGTTAAGATAAGTTAGGGTTCTCTTCAAATATTGTAAAATTCACACACCCAGAATCTAGGGTTTACGTTTAGGGTGAGTATATATAGTAAATTTGCACGAATTCTTTGAAAATCTGTACTTCTTGGAATAGACCAGGCCTGGGGCCATAAAACTGAGACGAGCTCACTTTTGATTTCAGTCTCACTTTTCCACTATATATTCCTTTGGTAAAAGTGAGACTGAGACCAAAAGTGAGCTCGTCCAACTTTTATGGCCTCCAGGCCTCGTGAACTTTATGCATAATTATGATGAGCAAGGGGGCCTGTTTCAGAATTTTGCAATTAATGACCACTCGATCTGGAGAGGCTCTGTTGATAATACATATATATATATATATATATATATATATATATATATATATATATATATATATATATATATATATATATATATATATATATATATATATATTGAACGTTGAAAATGCATTGATTTTTTGAAGATATTATGCTTTGATCTGATGAATTTCGAGACGTAAAAGAATTCATTATTGTGCTAAGCAAATGATGATTTTAATTACCAGATTTGTAAAATTCTTGACCAACGAAAAAGAAGTTAGACAGGGATTTGATTATTTTTATGAGAAAAATTGTATTTACAGAGCAGTTCCTCTTTGTTTTTCACTTTTGATCATAGTTAAATTCTGTAAATAATGGAATCCACATGTTCTACAGCTCAAGATTTTTTGTTGATTAATCACTACACAATTTCCATGCATTTTGCTTTGGTTTTCATTCAGTGTCATATTTAATTATGTGAACTGTCTCGATTAATGAAGTCGACTTACCTGTATGACTGAAGCAAAGTAAGAAGTATTTCTAAATATAGGTGCATTATCATTTATATCTCGAATCTCCAACTGCATCAGGAAAAACTTTGTTTGTGTTGGGTCTTTCTAAATTTCAAAGTGAAAGAATTATTTTAACACATTTTAATGTTTGTTTTTCTTTTAAATTTTTTCCCTCAAGGTTTCAATTTCGTGTATGATAGTTACAAAAGGTACACACTTTTAAAGATTATACATGTACATTATACTGTTGTTCATTATGCATTGTTTGACTTGAGAGAGACGACTAAAGTAATAATTCCCATTTCTTTGAAAACAACTATTCTTCGATACGATACGTTTTCTCATGCTATGACTTCTAATCTATGAACTTAAAAATTAGCTATGTAGCTTTGTTTGACTCTAGAATTTTTGTAGAAATTCCAAAATTTAAGGTGGAGTTAAATTCATAGACAGCACAGATTGCTGGTATTCTACAAGTCGTCTCTAGCAAAGACTCATGATCATGAGCTATGACATGCTTTTTTTCTTTTCTGAAATATCATTTACCGCCATTAAGTGACATCAGTTCTAGAAAGGTCTGCAGAGGGTGCAATAAATGAATCACAAAGTATTATATATATATTATGTTATATGATAATCAAGTAAGATTAAATGTCATTTTCCCATGTCATTTCTTATTTCAATAATAGGATCGATTTATCAGTATTCTGCAAAAAGCTTTTTGTACGCTGAACATTAAAATAGTTTTATCAGATACACTCACGTGCCAAAAGTATGTCAATTTTTTCACAAGATGGCCGCCATAGTTTTTGTTTACTACTTGAATAAAAAATGATGCACTTACCTTATTTCTTCGTTTTTTGACTTAATATTTTGTGATGAAGCCTTTGGATGCGATCACTTTCCGACATCGTTTCGGTAGACTGGAGTAGAGAGACCTGAGGTAAGTTTTTGACAGATTGTTCCAAGCATACTGTAGTTCGTGTTTCAAGTCGTCGATGGTACGGATGTGGAAAATCTGACGTTTAACATGATTTTTCAAAACAAGCCAGACATTTTCAATTGGGTTTAAATCAGGGGATTGCGGGGGCCAAAAAAATGGTAGAATGCCATTCCTATGTTTCCAGTCTTCTGTCTCTCGTGAGCGATGAACAGGGCAATTGTCATCCATGAAATGCCAGGGTGAATTTGCAAAATATTTTACTATCACGGGCCATAAATGTTCATCTAACACACTAATGTACTTCTGCGAGTTCATATTACCATCAACAAATGCCAGTATTCCAGCTCCATGGTATGTTATTGTCCCCCACACCATTAACTTCAAGCAGCGTGAGGGCCCTTGTCCAAGATACCCCAGGCAATAGCCTCTCCATTTCTCCGATGTTTTCCTCCAAACTTTAACTTTACCATCTGGTTTTACAACTATCGTCATCTCATCACTAAAAATAACATTCTTCCATTGTTGGTCAACTTTCCAAGTTAATTTTCCCCTACAATACTGAAGTCGTTTCTTCCTGTTCACTTCACGGACCCCCAATTTTTTTGCCACAGTCCTTCTCCAGTATTGCTGACGATGAAGCTCGCGCTGAATAGTTCTCTTAGATACAGAATTTGGCACTGACCTGTTGTATTCATCGGTTATTTCCGTTAAAGTTTTTCTTCTTTCTTTTTTTACGATTCTAGAGAGAGCCGTGTGGTCGCGAACTGTCATGGATGGGGGTCGTCCACTTCGAGGTTTATTTTCAACGTCACCCCGCTCACGAAATCGCTTTAAGAATCGACAAATTGTCGAGGAATTCAAATTTAGTAATTCAGCCACTTTAACCGCTTTTAATCCACTTTCTATTAGGGATATTACGGTCTTCTTTTCATCAATAGTAAGTTCTCGTCCCCTTCGTCCCATGCTTGTTGTTTACATTGACAATGGAAAAATAGCAGAAGTTATGACTACTTCCGGTTTACAAAGGCATTACATAATATACGGCAGCTTAATGGTGACATAAATAAGTCAAAATTCGTGAATGAAAGTAAAATTTTATTGAAAAAAAAATTATTGATTTAATTTATTTACGGCGGCCATCTTGAAAAAATTGACATACTTTTGGCACGTGAGTGTACAAACAAGAGTAGAGTAAGGGATAACTTTGTTTCTAAAGAATGATCCTATCATAATGATACATTTCGTCATATCTGCAAACCAACTTTACTTACCAATGCACGACAAGATAATTGAAATTCAATATTGTTGAGGTCATCACTCTCAGTATAGGAACTCCCCTGCGTAATAAAAATGAACACAAAATATTACTTGATGTAAAGAATATATGATATACGTAAAATAGTTTTAAAACAGAAGTTAAGTTGTAAGTTATCCGGCATGTGAAAAAATATACGTTCTCACCTAAAAATAACATTGATATTCATTTCCAGATAAGACACCAGAAGTTTTTTTTTTCTTATATAACCATAATGGATATTTCTTGAGTTGATAAAACCACAAGTGTTACTGTAAGTCTTACATGTCTATAGTTACTTTTAAAACATTTTGAAAACAGTTTAGAAACCATGTATTTCCATTCATAATTATGTCAGTGGGCTTAGAAAAAGATAGCATGAAGTCTAAAGTATTTGTTTCTCATTTGAATATTTCACCAGAAAAAATTTCTGATATGGTAATCTAACAACAGAGACTTATGATCTACCTCATTTTTAATCGTCGAGTTCCCTTACTTATGTAGCAGTAAACACTTATCACCCCGTGTAATTATGGGATTATGTCTCTCAGTTAATTCGATATGCTAGAGCATGCTCTAAGTATGAACAAGGACTAACATGAGGCAAGTTAGTGGCAAATATAAATATCAGTAGTCTCATTTTAAATTATCAAGTTCTATAGTCGATACAATATAATGTAAGCAATAACATACAACCATTGAGTCAAATGGTGGGTGACGTTGCTATAACATTGTTAGGCCATTATTTACAAACTGCATTGTCGACGGAATTTTCTGTTATTCCCCGACAAGAAGCACACAATGGATGGGACCGTTCAGCAAGAGATATTCACTTCTCCATTGCACCTGATCCCACCCCCTATGTTTTAGTGGACCGTTTTCATTATGCTCCTGATTTATATCTTTGAAAGGACATGTGATCTTAAATAATCTTCGTAATATCCATATACTCGTATTTTATTTATAACATTTTCTCATACCCGGTAAGTTGAATAATAAATTGTAGCATACATATGTTTGTTTTAAATCAGACATATAATACGGGATGATTTCTGAACATTTCTCGAGACGTACGAAAATACGCATTGGTATGTGATAGACTTTTCATCGAGCATTATAGAAGTTGATCGATGTCTAACACGCAATTTGATCCGATAAACGTTCAATTATATTTTATTTTGAAAATATGCTTGTTATGTTTATAGGAGATATTTTATCAAAGAGATATATCAGATATTTGAGGAACCTACGACAAACCTTTGAAAAAGTCTCATATGAAGAGTTAAGTGATTTTGTTTGATTTGCTTCATAAGAAATATAAAACGTACATCTCTGTCAATTGCTGACTTTAATCGGATAAAAGTCCTACTTCCAAAGGTTGAGTTTGATACTGGTAAAGTTATCAATTCAAACAGATTATTTAAGTCAAGATCAGCAGGGGTGGCTTGTGTTCTAAGAAAGGTTATGTTGACTCCAGATGTTGTCTGAGTTCCCTGATTTATTCCTTCTATCGTTGTGTCTGTTCTATAAAGTGGCGAGTTGGAGTCAAAAGAAGAAAACGTGGATTCGTACACAGTTCCAGCAATGTTAGGATCAGGTGAACTGCATGCTGTAAACAAACAATTAATCAAATAGTCTAACAAATAAGCATGCATTTTAGATTTTGAGAAATTAAGAAACTCTGCAGTAAGCATAAATATTCAAACACTTTAAATTATGAAAACACAATTAAGAAAAAATCACTTACGTTCTTGTGAATTTACAGTTAGTATGTGTCCATTTAGCAGGAAGGCTGTAAACAGCACATAAAAAGCATCATGATCCAACATCTGAATATTTAGGAGGTATTGTTCTTGCCTAAAAAAATAATGTAATCTCAAACAATTACTAGTACATTATAATATATATTATAAATATCCACAGAAACTTTCTTGAAACTGAATTTTTGAGACACTGTAGAGTTAATGAACAGCCGCCACGTGGAATGAATTGGAAATTGATATCTATTGCTTTTAATATTTATTAATAGGGTCAGATAGCAAAATATTATTAATTTGTATGGTATTGAATTTCATAATTAAATGTGTTCTTTTAATATAATGTAAAGAGATAACTGCATCGTGCAAAGTAAAAACGTTTAACTGTATATATCTAGATATAGATGAAACCAAGCATTAAATCTAATGACCGATTCCTCCCAAACTGTTTAGTGTTAATAGATTGAAAACACCTTTAACAGAATATAAGGTAAGTTAAAATTACTTAAATAATTTTGGAAACGCAACACATACATTTCATAGTGACCTAGGGAATGTACAAATATTTAATGCGTCATATTTATAAAGTTTATCCATTGCATGATATCGGCAAGGGGGATTTATTTTGAAATAAATGAGAAAATATTCAGCTAAATGAAAATAAATTGAACAGTCATTGTTGTGATTGCATTAAATCTCCAAATTTAACCAGTTTGACAAGATGGCAATGAAATATGTATATATGCTTGAAACTCAGAAAGACATATTATAGCACCATGTGTGATATTTGTTAGCAAAACATTGACAATACCACTAGGACCTTTACAAAACAGCACAAAAATGTGTATGCCTTTTTATTCAAGAAAAACTTTCTTCGTATCGTTTAGCGACATAAAATCTGGATATAGTTTCAACGCTCTAGAGATTTTCAATAAACGCAGAATAAAGTACAGCAGTTTTCAAGCAAAAGAAAATTAATATTAATCGATAAAAATACCTTACTAGTTATCTATAAATCATTGTATTTTAAAACAAAATGTATTTTTTTTTACTATTTACACCATTTTATTATAAGTACTTACAGTAAAATATTTGACGTGACACAAGAAATGGAATATACAGTACTTCCTGCTTCTTCCAGGCGATAATTGCGGTGCATACAGCGTGACTTGATTATTTGGGGGAAAATCCATCGCTCATTTTTCAAGATTTTATCTTGATTTTGGCGTTATATAAATGGAAATATGGGTAAACATTGAAACTCAAGTGTTTTTTATTTAATATGACATTTTTTTTTAAATCTAGACATAAAGACTCGTGACACAAGACCTACACTATTATATAAAGCATAATTTTTTCGCGATTAAATAGCTGGTTTTTATGATTGGTACATGTATATTTCTAACCCCTGTATGCAAGTTATTTTTTTAATAAAATTATATGTCAATATGCAAGATAAATATGTCAAAGAACATCTTAATTAAGTTTAAATGCAAAATAAATGCAAAAAAATTAAGAATTTGCATTTTATTCTAAAATTATTGAATATAGCCTACAAGTTAATTTCAATCAGCTGGAAAAGAGTTTACAGAAAACGTATTTACGGGGGTTGTTCGAAAAGTTCGTGGACGATGTCAATCTTCGTTATATTAATAACAAAAAATTTAAAATGAGCACAACATAATATGTAAAAACATTTGTTTTGTTGATTTGTAAAGTTTCATTCCATTCGATTAAACTGAAATAAATTTACTTATTTTTAAATCAACATGTTTTCTACCCGCGGAACACACAGCGTCAAGAATTTCTTAAAACAGATGTGATTGTAATGCCCCCGTATGGGTCAAAATCAAAAGATCAAGGTAATTGGTATTTCCAATGAGAATACCCTACTTTTGGTACCAATATATTAAATTCGCATTTACGAAAAGTTTAATCTTTGCTATGTTGCATACGGGGGCATCAGTGATTCACAAACACATCTTGTTATATTTTAAAATTAGCATTGATTTTAATCCCGAGCTACAGCATCAGATTTCAATGGAAAGATGGTTGAGGTATAGAGCATTGCTTTTTGTCAAAACTGACAGGACATGACTTTTAACTTTGCAAAAAATTGAAATTGACCTACAGATGGACATCTCGATCCCTATATACCCTCCCACTTTTCAAAGCAGGGGGAGGGGTATATTGAATCGTGGGAAAGAGGAAAAGTTGTATATTTTATAACACAAATCGAATCCCTGAATAAATTAAAAGTAGCTGTAATTGTCAAGGTAACCAAACACAGACCTGTTAACCCATATCGTTGTCTCTCAGTATTTTTGTATAGATTTGTCCGTGAGATTTGGCTTTTGCAAGTAAGATTTCACTTTCCATTGATTATGCATAAATTAATAAATAACAACTGATTTTCTGATTACAAAAAATATGGTTTTACAACACAGTGTTTGTCATTTCAAAATTCTACAGCGTTTTGGCAAACCATTTTCTCTTATTTGTTTGAAATCTTTCTATCTTTACCGATTAAAAAGCGTGAAACTTAGACAGATTATAACAACAAGAGGCCCATGGGCCACATCGCTCACCTGAGTACCTTGGGTGATGCAGATCTTTACCAGATTCCCCCTCTTGCTATACGTATCATGCCCAACAACCCACTTCCCTTTTTTATTTTAAAACTTTAGAATCTACACTACCCAAGGATGCTTCCACAAAAGTTTCAGCTTTCCTGGCCCAGTAGTTCTTCAGAAGAAGATTTTTAAATATTTGTTCTATATATTTCTATGTAAAAGTTGGATTTCCTATTGTGGCCCCACCCTACCCCCGGGGGTCATGATTTTAACAATTTAATATCTACACCAGCCAAGGATGCTTCCACATAAATTTCAGCTTTCCTGGCACAGTGGTTTCTAAGAAGAAGATTTTTAAAGATTTGTTCTATATATTTCTATGTAAAACTTGGATTCCCTATTGTGGCCCGCCCTACCCCCGGGGGGTCATGATTTTAACAATTTAAAATATACACTACCCAAGGATGCTTCCACATAAGTTTCAGGTTTCCTGGCCCAGTGGTTCTTGAGAAGAAGATTTTTAAAGATTTGTTCTATATATTTCTATGTAAAACTTGGATTCCCTATTGTGGCCCCGCCCTACCCCCGGGGGTCATGATTTTGACAACTTAATATCTACACTACCCAAGGATGCTTCCACATAAGTTTCAGCTTTCCTGGCCCAGTGGTTCCTGAGAAGAAGATTTTTAAAGATTTGTTCTATATATTTCTATGTAAAACTTGGATTCCCTATTGTGGCCCCGCCCTACCCCCGGGGGTCATGATTTTAACAACTTAATATCTACACTACCCAAGGATGCTTACACATAAGTTTCAGGTTTCCTGGCCCAGTGGTTCTTGAGAAGAAGATTTTTAAAGATTTGTTCTATATATTTCTATGTAAAACTTGGATTCCCTATTGTGGCCCCACCCTACCCCCGGGGGTCATGATTTTAACAATTTAATATCTACACTACCCAAGGATGCTTACACATAAGTTTCAGGTTTCCTTGCCCAGTGGTTCTTGAGAAGAAGATTTTTTAAAGACCCCACCCTATTTTTGTCTTTTCTTGATTATCTCCCCTTGTAAGGGGACTTGGCCCTTCATTTTACCAATTTAAACTCCCCTACACCCAAGGATGCTTTGTATTAAGTTTGGTTAAAATTGGCCCATTGGTTCTTGAGAAGAAGTCTAAAATGTGAAAAGTTTACAGACGGACAGACGGACGGACGACGGACAAAATGTGATCAGAAAAGCTCACTTGAGCCTTCGGCTCAGGTGAGCTAAAAACTAACTACTAAATTCCAAACGAACGTATTTCAGATTTCCATATTTTTATAAAAGCAAAAACGTGAGACGTATTTTAGACTAAAAATACGTATAAAATACGGCGAAATCGTGAGAGTAAACAGGTCTGCAAACAACATTTCGATTAAGATAATTTCCCCAATCTAATTAAAATTTGATTTTTCATAATCGAGATGAAAGGTCTTATTTTAATTAGATTGATAATTCCCCTTGTTTCTAAATTTTTAACTTTTGAGTAATTTTTCTCAGAATCTCAATCAACAATTTTTAAACTGGAATTTTTGAGGAACGCATTCCATGAATATCTTCAGAGGCTAATGGGCGTGTTCAGAACAAAAATAACATTTAAGATCAATATTATACAATGGGATCAATGAAAAAAAAACACTAATACTTCAAATGTTTATTTCTTTAAAATAAAATTGACAAAAAATATATTCGGTTATGAAACCAAAAAAAAAAAAACAATGTCAGTGTATTAAAATAATAAATACTCCCCTCAATCTTAACAAAGTTCAATTATACCCGGTAAGGAGAGGCTACTCATGTTTATATCAGTTTACAATGTGTTCATTTTTATTCTTCCTCTTCATTTTTTAAAATGTTTTCTTGGTTGGATTTCTAATATTCAGGAACTCATAATGGGTAGAAGTCTATATATATTTTTACAAAATTTCAACACTTTTACAAACACATCTTGAATATTTCCAAAACTTTAAAATGAACCACCTTGATCTATGAATATTGCAAGATGTTTAAAGTTCTCTCCAGAAGTAACTGATCATGTTATCCACAATGTCAGCATAATGGCAAGTATCAACACTTTAATTTTCAGTTTTAAAATTAATTAGCCCTAAAAAATTGGTTTTATTCATCAGTCGAAGGTTCAGCCAAAAGATCTAATTGTACTTCATAACTCTTTCCTGAAAATATATCCTTAGCCTGAAGTCTTAGCTCAGTCTCTCCAAATATCATACTTTCTTCCAATTCAATTGAAGCACCATCTGGCAAATCTGGTAGGGGTATAACTAAGACCCCCAAGCGATGACATCCTGGGTCATCTACGTATTTAGGATCTTTGCTGTCGGAGATGTAAATTGCACACTCTAATTTCTTCTCTTTTGGGTTCAAAGCTTGAAATATTTGAGATTTTTCATACCCAGCTGTCAAATGCTGTCCTTTTGTTATATACTTGAAGAAAACATCTTTACACCTTGCTCTTCCATTGACTTCAACTTTCTTGCTCTCTGGGTGTTTTGTTGGGTTGAACTCAGGCCAGCTTTGGATGCCATAGGTGTATCGAGCTGTTCGCCTAGATATAGCATCAGGAATGTGCCCAAAATACACAGCGCCTTTTAAGACAGAAATGCCTGCATCATCAGGAACAACTACACGTTTCATTTTGAAACCCTCTCTAACTGCTTTTTGGACAACTTCACATTCAGCAAAACCACCAACCATTAGAATTGTTTCCACAGCTACCATATCACTATCGTACAAAATTCCTCGTAAATGTTCTTTAATTTTCTTAATGGTGTAGTCAAAGAAACGTAGAAAATCTTCATTTTTCCACTTCAACTTCCAGTTTTCAAAAGTGACTTTTCCTGCATATGGGGACATTTCAATTGCTTTTTCTAGAGATTTCCTGGATTTATCTTTTTTGACAATTTGTACAAGACCCAGTGGAATGGACAGATGTGTGTTTCCTTCTTTCCCTGGCTTAGCTGATCTCTTCTTTAATTCAAAGTTCCTCATGAGTTCTAAATAATCATCAAAAGATGACTTCTTCAACTCTTTCATGGACTCTGTTCCAATGATTTCCTCAATATATTTTTCAAATTCGTCATCCACAGATTTACCTCCCCATGGTCCTCCGCTGGCCTCTCGCATTTCCTCCAGAGATCCATCATCAATTTTATGATGCACTGTTATGTCTGCTGTACCCCCTAAAAATGAAATGTAGTCAAAATTTAAAACACAATGACCTATATAACATTGAAACTTACACCTTAGTGTATACATATGCATTAATTATAGATGCAAGTTGTGGCCATACACCGGGTACTTATAAAATGCAGCACTTGTACACTGTAACTAGAAGAGTTACTCATATGAATTACATACCTCCCAAATCAGCAACTAAATACTTGCTCCCAACAGCAAGTTCTCCCAGATATTTAGACTGTGAGAGATTAAGATCTTTGGCTGGTAGATACTGACAATGAATGGATGCAGCTTCTGGCTCTAAAGCAATTGTCAAAGATGATCGCTCAATCCCAGCCTGTTATAAAGAAATTAAAAACAAGTTGAAATGTCTTGGGGAAATGTCTCAAGAAAAACCCAATTTTATCAGCGCATTTTTCTAAAATTAGAGCAAAAATTTAGTCAACTTAATCTATTTTTTATCAAGTTCGAATCAAAAATATGTCCTTCTGGGACATCATCCTACCTCTCGTGCAGCCTCTCTCATGAACTGCTTTGATCTGTCATCCCAAATGGCAGGCACAGTGATAACATAGTCAATGTCTGATTCCTTTATATCTGGATAACTGTTCTTTAGAGTTTTCATCAGGTCACCCACCAGAAACTCTATAGATATCTTGAACACTTTAAGGGCTTCCATTTCTTTACCTGAGGCATCTTTCAGCTTTGTTTTTCTACTTATTGCCTACAAAAATAAAAAAAGATATTTGAAAACTGTATAAGTATATGTTATAGTTACACAAACTTCCCTATCAAAATATTTCATTTTTTAAGCACAGAATTCTTCATGCAGAATTTTATCAATAAATGATTTTGTCCTGACCTCAATTAAGTATTTCAGTGAAATTTATGATCGTCACAAAATGTGTGCCCTGTTAATGTTAAAATTTCTTGTGCCTTTATATTTCCCTAAAAATTGTAAAATAAAAGACAAATTTTGTATTTTATTTTTGGGGGTCTCAATTGCAAATGCACTTAATGCCTTTGCAGAAGCTGCAGATCAGTTCTGTATCTTGCTGATTTTTAAAAAAAATGGAATGGATGAGCTACAATATACTTATTGAACAAAATGTGCATTAATCTCAACCAAAAAAAATTGAGCAATATCAGATCTGAACTACTTGTACCATGTGATTGTGTTTTTCTTTACCATCTACTCAGAAACTTTCTGTCATAAATACAATATTTAATCAAATAAGAAATTAATATTAGACACTTGCCTTTTCGGAATGTAGTATCATCTTAAATCGATGAAAAAAATAATAATCCTCGTGTTCTTCATCTCGTGCCAAGTCTATATACTGGTCCTCCGCCTCATATCCAAAGGCCTTAAATGTTTGGTCCGCTTCTAACAGTAAAGCTGTGGGGGTCTTTAAGGTGACAACCTTACCCCCAGTCCAATTACTGGTCAACACTTTTGACCAATCCGAGGTAGAGGAGAAGGCGTATCCCGAATAAGTTGTCCCAAAGTCGATAGCAGCCACAAAAAGCTTTCTGCATTTTGACCTGATTGAACCTAGATGAAAATCAATATAATATATATCTAAACAAATTCACACTTGACTGGAGTATGATTAAGTCCGTTGATTTTGTTTTAAGCCAGAGAGATAAATAACAGATGATATTATGTATCTGGTCTACGAGGAAATTCGAACTACGAACTTTAAAACCGAAAGTAGGCTGCATCATGCATAGAAGTCTCGGGTTTTGATGTATGAAACATCAAAGATTTTAATTCTTATTTCCTCTTTATCTTTCTAAGTTTTTATGACATTTTTTTCATTCTCCTTTATACAAATAACCTTTAATAAAACCCCACTTACTATTTAGATTCGACATCTTCCGGAAACCATGTGCAGATTTCCTTCCCTTATGAAATCAAAGTACTAAGAGTAACGGAAGCCATGCAGAAGAAAAGGATTGTCTCAGGTTGTGTATATATTTTTCAATCTTTGTAAATAGCCTACAATAAACTTCTATCATAGTTTGAAAAAAATTCAGGTGTTGAGTAAACCATAGCTAGGCGCTCCCAATGTAAGTTTGTAGGTAATGGTTATAAGCCGAAAACTGTCCATTATGTCAGATATTAGACGGCCCGAGGCGCGTTAGCGCCGAGGAGAGTCTTATATCTGACATAATGGTCAGTTTAAGGCTTATAACTTACTTAAAACATTTCACCACTGTCGAACACGTCCATTGTTAACTTATTGGACAGCCACAGGTAAGGTCTCGTTCTGCTTGGATGACTACCTGGCACTGTTCATCAAGTTAGGCCAAAGAAAACGAGCTTTGGTTTTTATTATACCTCCGCTTGAAAAGCGGGAGGGTTTATAGTAATCGTTAATTCCGTCCGTCCGTCTGTTACGCTTTTGGGGTAGGCCTACCCATCTCTTATCCGCAGCTCCTCTTATATCACTGAATGAAATTTGATGAAACTTTCACAGAATCTTTATTACATATTGCCATTGTGCACCTCCTATTTTACTTTTTGATCTGCGCAGCACAGTTAAGGTTACAAAAAGGAGGCGGAGCCTAATTTGTACGGGAAAACTTGACTATGACATCATTCACCATATACGTCATACAACATTTCTTTAAAATGCCACAAAATGAGTTTATCTGATAATTTAACCAGTAAGAAATCATCAAACTACATAAAAACCTACTACAGCATGTTGTTTTGTCGTTAATTAAATCCCACATAACAAGTTATAAACAAGTCACTGATCGCAATACACTTGTCAATATGACGTCATTTCTTACAACGTGACGTAGTTTGTATGCAGTGAGAGACAGATAAAGTAATATTTTCTCAACAAAATATGTTTTCTCTAATTAAATAAAATATTAATTACAGATATTCTATGGACCAATAACTTGGATTTAATGTATTCTTCACTACTTTATTAATATATTTTCTGTACATTACGTATTTAATTGACACTGCCGTATATTTGTATGCAAGTACATCGGATTGTAATGTAGGGGGTTTAATAAATCGATCTAGTGCAAGGGCATACACTCTATGGATCAAAGTAAGCTTTTACATTTCAAGTATAGAACTATTAAGGTATCTAAAAAGTGCTGCGATCCTGATGAAATCTTAACAACAATTTAATTATATCAATAATTCATGCCGCTGACCAGCAAAAATATAGCATTCGGTCATACAAGTATAATTTAAACAATGAAATTGCAGAATTTAGACAGGATCGCAACACTTTTTAGAAACTACAATGCGTGTTGAAAATATTTATATACTAAACTTGGAAATTTATCTTGGTTATGCCCTTGCACTAGTGAAATTCATATGTAACATCAATACTTCAAGTCATTGTGCTAAAATAGCGTGACTGCCGCATCACGTGACTAGTCTAGATATAAAATATAATCGTCCTCGATATGTAGTTATTAATCATAATTACAATTATCCGATATAAACAATGTACTAAAAATAATCGTCATCCCGATTACGAATACATTTTTAAATACAAAATTTAGTCCATATTTCCATTGCGCACCTTAACTGTATTGCGTGACATATATTTTTGATTTTCCAGAGCAAAACATGTACACTGCCATTATATTCATATGGGAGCGGGGGGTATTATTTAGTGAGCTCATTGCTCACAGTACCTCTAGTTTTGCCTTTATTTATAGTTGGAATCATCGAGAGGTGTTTTATATCGATAAATATGAACATTAACTTTGTTTAGTACGTCTTATTTATCCGCTTTGCGACATTTTTTATATATACTACGCATGCGTAAAAGTCAGTTCTACTAAATTCTTTACAATTTATTCATTTTACAAGGCAACGACTACGGAAGAAAACGTACATTTTAATTTTGAAAAAAAGACCCTCAGAATCGGGTGTTTTGACGATGCCATTTATCGATTACACCAAGATGCCTCAGTTCAGGTTTTTACTTTGTAGTCCGGATATATATTCTTATGTTTCGGAATTTGCAAGAAACAATTCACGTTAAAAGGTAATTTTTGTAAAGCAATAGGATTTGAAGGATTTTACTCAAACAACTGTTTAAGCATTTTCTTTGAAATTGGGAGATTATTCTTGATGTATTTTTTAAAAATGCAATTATCTTTTGTGAGCAGGTTTCGAACTCGGAAGGATTTTACTCCAGCCACTCCTTAAAACGACAGATACTCGCTTAAACGACCCAGGACTAGGTGGACAAATGATCATTAATCATCGAACGGAATTACAGATTACGTTGGAATTTCGTGAGCTAAATTATGTGCTAAATGCGGAAAATGGATATTTCAATAAACAAAAAGCCCAAGGTTGTGTGTAAGAAAACACATGCTTCTCATTCATCTTTTGTGTCCGTTGGATTCTTTATATGTTCCGTGGATCAATCATTGTGAAATGAATCTATTATATAGCAATGAACGGTGAATTTAGGAAATTTATGATCGGAGCCACGGATGCGTTTACAATAATGTATCTGAGACATTCAATTCACTGGATTATTTGTGTCATTTTCAATAGGATTTTTTGTGAAATATTAACATTTAACGCTACTAATTTCCTACATTGTTCATATTAAATTGTTTAATTTGTCATTGCCTTTTAAGTGGTGTTTACTTATTTGCTTCGCCCTTTGTTCTCATTTTAACGTTACCTGTACCTGTCCAATAAGTTGAATCTTATTGGACTCCTACAGGTAACTTATTGGACGGGATGCAGGACAATAACAAATTTATTGAACCAGGTTTAACAAAAGATGACGTCACAAAAATGTTTTAAATGACGAAATATAGTGTACCCTTATATACTAAAATCCACAAGGCCTACAACTACCCTCCATGTTTGCTTCTGCCTGGGACCTATTACCGACTTACCTTAACGATTTTTGTTGGTTGTATTGTACAGAGGAGTAAACCTATATGAAGATGACTATATTTCGTCAACTATACAAACGTACATGTGCATGTATGGCGGAGCGCCTATGATTTTTAACACACCAGAGCCGAAGAGTCAAGAGATCTTTCTAGCCAGTGTCCGGAATTTGCAGAGTTATTAAATAATAGACTTAACCAAGCTTAAGTGACCCTGGAAGTGGATCCCTCGCTTTGTTTGTGTAAATGTTATGGAAAGTGAAAGGTATGAAGCTTTAGTTAATAAGTCAACGACTACATGTACACCCCCCCACACACACACACACAAACACACACACTCGAAATAGGTTTTACACGTTTGGAAATGAGATTAGGTTTGTTTTTTGAAAATGATTTTGACTGGGGTGGACCCCCACCCTCGGAAGAAAAAAAATCCTGGATCAGCGCTGGCTCCTTATCCCAATCATGACCTCTGGGAGTATGGCAGGGCTACAATAGGGGGTCAAAGTTTCCCATAGGAGTATATAGAAAATGTTTAAAGTAATCCATTATTACTTATACTATTTCAGAAGTATCCTCGGGTAGTGTCGATTCTAGTGGTAGTGCGGGGTCACAAGAGGGACTCAAAGTTTTACACGAGAATACAAGACCGTAACTATATGTACTAGGCAAGTAAGATAAAATAAAAATTAAAAAAGTTTTCTGAAAAGTTAAAAGTTTTACTTTGAATATAATCTTATAATATATTATGATATCATGGAATCCGGATAGGGCCACGCAGTTCACTATCGCATCATCGCACCATCGAGGTTTAGGTCGATAGTGCGATGAAGAGATAATGCGATGACGATGAGGCGATGGCGCGATAGCGATGAAGTGATGGTGCGATAGCGCGATGACGATGATGCTATGCCGCGACAATGCGATGACGATGGTGCGATAATGCGATGACGCGATGGTGTGATAGTGATGACACGATGATGCGATGACGATGGTGCGATAGTACGATGACCATGAAGCGATATTCACTATCGCTCAATCGTGCTATCGCACCATCGCCATCGCATTATCGCGCCATAGCATCATCGTCATCGCGCTATCGCATCATCGCTTCATCGTTATCGCACCACCGTTTCATCGTTATCGCGCCATTGCATTATCGCGCCACCGACCTTAAAGTTGATGCTCGATGGTGCGATAGTGAAGTGCGTGGCCCTATCCGGATTCCATATGATATAGTGAAAATCTCGGGTTTTAAAAGAGTGGTTATCGGCAAACAAACCTTGTTCAATGCAAAATTCGCAAATTCTTTGGCAGATATTGATTTCATTTCATTTACAGTGTTAATTTACTCTGTATCGAAAACACTTCTAGCAAAACACTCAATGGAAAGTATTACTTTTGATGAAGGTTAACACCCGATTTTCTTCTTGTTGATAATATGCATTTTTGCAGCAACATAATTTCTTTGTGCTTGTTTTCCTTGAATTTGCTTCTCACCAGACTTTTCATATTAAACCGTGGTTAAATATGAGTGAAAAATTCTCGAGAGGGACGTTAAACAATTTACAATATTAAACCGTAGTTCCACTCCACATTTTGTTTAAAATACTGTCTAATTTTGTTATCGCTGCTGTGTGGCAACGCACTCTGAAAAAAAATTTCAACGTGCGTTAAAATTGGGACAAAATCAACGCACTTTGAAAAATTTTTTCAAAGTGCGTTAAATTTGGGACCAACTCAACATACTTTGAAAAAAATATTCAAAGTGCGTTAAGAGTCTACATCAATATATTTTACCATGGAGATACTTAACGCACTTTGAAAAAAAAAATCATATTTTAGTCATGGAAAGATTTTATTTGTAACTTATCTTTCAAAAAAGTAAGCCTAACCCTAACCTCAAAAATGAATTGATTTACTTCCGTCGAAAAGAGGAGAAGACGGGTATAAGATCCCTCAGTCCAAATCTTTATCTTTCCAATACATAGGTGTCGGTAACAAACGGGGGAGGGGAGCAATAAACCTAAAAAGGGTACGCTGCATTTTCAATGCTTATACGATGTATATATCTTTCCAAAATAAGTGGGGGGCTTAGCCCCCCATCCCCTCCCCTGGCCCTTCGCCCAGTCTCGATGTCTATGCTATACTCAAAGTATTCATATAAATATGTATTTACCTAACTGGTATGACGTTGAAAACTTTCAATGATAAATGAGTTAATTAAAACAGATGAAAACTAGAAATTTTTGAGTACAGTAAAACGTATGAGAGGGAAAAAAATTTCATAGTTTTGAACAATTAAATTGGCCCCTTTTTATTATGATAAATGCTAAGTTGCTTGAAGCTGTCCTCTGTTAGTGCCCCCTATACACCTTTACATCTACTTATCAAAGACTAGGAAAAAAAAAGAATGTACGAATTAATGAACTTAAACAATCGTCACTCTTTTTTTCAAGACCCTTTAATTTTCCTTTTTATTTTATCAAAACCTTGAATATTTAAAACGTCAATATCTTAGGTCCTACAATGACTTTATCATAAAAAGTTATCAAACCAGGATCTGTTATTTATCATACCGATTATTTGAAGGAATATTGATCAATCTTTACATTTTTCTTCAAAGTGCGTTAATATGGTGGATATTAACGCACTTTGAAAAAAAATTACTTTTTCAAAGTGCGTTAGCTTGGTCCCAAATTTTAACGCACTTTGAAATTTTTTTTTTCAAAGTGCGTTGTAACACTGCCGTCCGCTAATATATTTTCACTGAACTGGCAATATTATGATTGTGAAACATGTTTGTACATCAGTAGGTTTTTTTTCTCTGTGTAATGTATATAGAGATTGACAGTTGTAGCCATTCATGGTGAGAAGTTTGCAAGTTGTTAGAACTTGTGTTCAGACCATTTGTATATTATTGATACAATAACATATTCATGTTCAAACCTTTGAATATTATTGGTCGATCGGCTACAGGAGATTTTTAGACTGGTAATGTCAAAATATCTTAATTGTTAATCATATGATGAAAAATTTATTAGAAAATGCAGGTTCATTTTGAGTTGTGTTGTGTACCACATGTAATTTAAAAGTAGAGCATTTTTAACCAATAGCTAACGTCGGTTGATCAAATAAAAATTTAAAAATCGATTTTTTTTAAAAATTCATTTCATACAAGTATTCATAAGAGAAAGAGGATACGCGCGCTGAACCTGAACACTTTATGCACCAAAGGACTAAATACGGAAGTAAAATTCCTTCACTTTAAAATGCCTAAAGGTAAGAGAAATATGCAAGTTTTTGCTGTGTTTTTTAATTCTTCATGCTTGATATAAAATAATATATAAAATGTGGATTTCTATTAATCAAATTTCCATAAATTAGTAAAACTTAAGATTATAAGAAGAGAGAAGATGATACCCTGGCTTATATACTTTCTTGTCCAATATGTAGACACATTTTCTGTAAAACAAACTACTATACACTTTTGAGCCATTTTCAACGTTAAACACATTGTTCTGTATTTATTCAAGCTTCTAAAATACAGAATTTGTAAACTCTGATAGCTTAAACTGCTTAGAAGTTCAGAATATTCTAAATATGCAATAAGTTCAAAATGCCCTGAACTTGCAATCACTTGTAAAAAAGGAATTATAAAGAGCATTTTAAGAATATTACCTTTTAAAATTTAAATGACAACGGATATACTTTTCATGCAAAACTTACTTTGAATTAAATACCGTGTAGTCAAACACCCACTATAATGTTTTGGGTTTTTTTCATGTGCTTTTCCAGATAAATCGATAGAATACTAGTATTCTCAAATAGTAAAGTGGTCGGAACGTATGGTACTGTACCAAGGCCGTTAAGTCACTACCATTGGAATAAGTGAGGCAAATGCCTCAATAATTTAATTTTTTAGATTTCTGCAAAATGAATTTCAATTATTTATGTGTGTCTTTGTATAAAATCAAGACCTTTAGATTTTTGATTCATTTTTAGTAAATCCCACACCGCATGATTACCGAGTGTTTCATATCGTCTAAAAAGTGTGTAAAAATTACGAAAGCCTATTAGGATCAATCTAAAGAAAAAAAATTAAAAGGTGTTATAACGCCTTTCGAAAAGGCGTAATAACGCGAAAAAAGGCGTTATTACGCCTTTCCATTCCAAAAAGGCGTTATTACGCCTTTTTAAAAGGCATTATTACGCCTTTCCATTCTTAAAGGCGTTATTATGCCTTTCCAAAAGGCGTTATTACGCCTTTCCAAAAGGCGTTGTTACGTCTTTATTTTGAATACATGATTAAACATACATGTATTCAGCCCAACCGAGGGTGGGGGGGGGGTGCAGAAATTTTACTTTGGGACATTAATTTTACAATTTGATATAGGAATAATTTCTCAAGAAATAATTTAAACAGATAACAATTAGAAATCCAGGAAAAAAGATTTTAAATGCGTCATATATTTTCAATATGGAACAAAGTCCTTCTTTAATACCAAGCACACCTTCCAAGGATCATTGATTTCAATTGCTCATTATACCTTTGCAAATAGTCTGCCTGCTTTTTTCCAAGAAGAGAGAAAAATATCTTCAAATGACATAAATTTTAATCCATGGCAAGCAAAGCTCCAAGATACATCTGTTTATATCGTATCTTCACAAGTAAAGTGTTGCCTTCTCTTAATACGAATGCAAACAGTTGTCAGTGCATATTG